ATTTTCTTTTTTTTTCTTTTTTTTTTAGATATTATTTCTTTTTTTTTTTTTTAAGATTTATTTTTATTTATTTATTTATACAAGCACTGGGTACAGTCAGAAGCGCTGGAGGGTGAGAGAATTCACCAGAGCCAGAGCAGGGAGCAGAGCAGGCAGAAGGATGTAAATACACTGCTGAGGGGAGCAGCGGGCGGCAGGAGAGGTCTGCGCGCCATGTGGGACCCTCCTCCGGTGGCCGGGGAGCAGCCGGGGATCGAACCGGGGCTGCAGAGGCTGCGGGCAGCTTCGCAACCCAGCGCTCAACCGCTGCGCCACCGGGGAGGCCCAATACAAGTTTATTTTCAAAAAACCTGGAAGATTTTTAGTAATTTCATTTTCTCCCCAGCTTCAGTCTTTCTTTGACTGAACCAGAAAATAATCCAGCTGTCTGCATAATCATACCCCCTTGTTCATCCCAAATATAAGCAACTAGATCCAATTTTTCCCAAGTTACCTCTTCCTTTAATAAAGTATAAGTCACCAGGAGTCTCAACTACGAAAAAGCAAAAGAGGAGAATATCAAAATAATAGTGGTGGAGGGAGAGAGATGTGAAAAATGTGTCCCCTCCACATTGTCACTCAGTAGCAATGCGCATGTCTGGACAATAGACTGAAGGATCATAATGTTGATGCTCAAGTTGATCATACCCATGCGCCCCCCAACAATGACAACAATCATAACCAACTATCTCACATGTATACAAGTGGCTTCTTGCTTATTCACAAGTCCACATACTTTATCTGTGTAGTTCACGTAGACTTGTCATTGGATACTACTCTCCTTTGTCACATGAGGAAAATAAAGCTCAGCAGGGTTACATAGCACACCCAGTTTTGTTGAGTTGAAACCACACTGCCTCTCTGGCCTCTAAGATGCTGTCCTTAAATAAGTGCCAGTTCTTAACAGGGGACATACGGAAAACTCCCCAAAGAGGAAGTGTATAAACTTCTTTGGGGAAAAGGCTCAACTTCATTTTTGATCACTTCTAATTGAGATGTAGCATTTCTTTCCATTACAAATGTAAGCAACAAACCACAGCAGTGTTAGCAACACCCATGACTGTCTCTAGAAGAAATCACATACTGTGTTGTTGCAAGTGTCTCAAAACAATAATGGTTTATTAGGTTTCCTCTGGATCTTGTGATATAATGCATTAATCAATAAGAAATATACACATATTTACTATATATACACCACGTTAATATTTTAATAACAATTTTATAACATTGGTGCCCTTAGTAATTCTATGTATTTCAAGCATTTAAAAATATTCTGAGGTAAAACAGTGTATTCTGAGAAGGGCCTCAGAGGTTTCACATGATTACCCAAGGAGCATATGGTGCATATGCATACAAGCTCACATATGCAGGTTGGGATTCCCCTATTTAAAAGTTGAAGGACATGGTCAGGATTTGTATCTCCATTTTGTTCCTGTTTACCATATTGTATTTCATATATTTCTAGGTCTTTTCTTTCCTGCCAGTCTATGAATTCTTACAAGCAGAAATGGTATCTTATATTTCTTTGGGTCTTAGAAGTGTCTGCCAGTGGGTTTGACATGCATTGAACCATCATTTATAGAGTACTGTGTATAAGGCTTAAGTCCCATTGGGTGGGGCAAAGGAATGGAGAGATTCAAAGGAAAGCAATAAGTCATTCACATAGCTGTTTGAGCATTCATTCATTTATTAATTTTGAGAATTGTCCAATGTTTACTCAATGCCGATCGCTGGTACATGTTCTGGGGCCAATAGGAAAAACAGACCCAAGTCCTTACGTTCATGGAGCACCATTCGGCTAATGTGAAGAACAGAAAACAAGATTTTGAAAGATAGGAGAGTCAAAGTCGTGGAACTGAAACGGGGTGGAGAGGGCCACGAGAGAGGCCACGGGGCAGGAGGCCGGATGGAAGGCACAGGCACCCACCTGCCCATGCTCTGAGACCAGAGAGCCACCAAAAAGCCTCAAAAGGCCAAAAGGCCAAAAATCAAAACCAAAAGCTATAGACTAACAAAGAACAGTGCCTGATAAGAGGACAGGTCGCTGTCTGTGGGTTCTCACCCACGCACAATTGCAAGAGACCACAGGCTCCAGGAACCACCATAGGGCTTATTGTACAAACAGGGGAAATAAAGAGCTCACTGTATCTACAAGTGGCAGCTGTCTCACCCAGGTAACATCAGTGATGGTCACCACTGGTCACCAGGGGCTGGACAAGAGTGCAGGACCACGACTGGTCCCGCAGAGGCAGTGTCAGAGATCCCCAGTGTTAACAGCTCTTTGTGAGTTGCTGGGTTATCCCAAAAACAAACAGCTCTTAGAGGCACCAGGCCCAGGGCCTTTGGTGCACCTTTCAGGCAACTTCAGAGATAGGCCCAAGGCCAATCCGTGACAGAGTCCTTCGGCTTCTCTTCCCTCCTCGGAGGGCGGCTGCTGGTAGCTTCTTTTCTTCTTTCTTCGGAGGCTGGAACTATCTTCTTTTCCTCAGGGGCTGGCATAGTCTCTCCTTGTTTGGGGGTCCCCTGTCCTCTTCTTTCAGGGCGTGGGGGTCATCTCCTTTTCTTTGGGGGCTCCCTCCAATCCTGCCTTGTATCCTCTTTCACCCACAAGTCTAATTGGACCATTTAGCATCTATCAGCTCACAGCTCACAACTAATTGGTCCATTACAAACAGTAGTTACTGACCTGAGGATCAATCACCACACTGCCTTGTGGTGAGCAGCAGGGTGCGAAGACACCACGGCTCCTGCCCGCTCCCCCCACTGAGGCGGCTGGGTTCTGGGAACAGAACCTATTTTGAGTCAAACAGACTCCATCTTGTCACTAAGTTGCCATGGTAAGACGTCTGAGTGAAAAGGAAGCAGCCTGACTCCATCACTTGACACAATGCCCATAGTCACCTATTGGTGACTATGAAGGAAGGTCCACCCACTGATTTCTCATAACTGATGACTACAAATAACAACACACTATTGCCTCCTTATCAATGATTAGGAAAGAAACAGGAAGACCATTGGCTAATTGTTACAAAGACCCCACAGTACAACATTCTGTCTGAAGACTCTTGTCAACCGAGCCCAAATTTCAAACAAATCACCTAAGCCTAGCAGGGCCACTCCCCTGCTTGAGCCTTTACAACTCCCCTATTCTAGTCTCTGGTGCAACACACCTTGGTACTGACCCTGGGTTGTGGACCCAAATTGTGATTCCTATTCTCAAATAAATATTTTCCTGATTACAGTATACTCTGATTATTTAAATTTACTGAGTCATGGGGGAAATCTACTTTTTAATCCATATTCATCAATTCTTTCTAGTGAAAAGATCACTGGGTAAAAGTAACCACAGGGGTAGGACATGCTTTTCCTAAGAGGAAAAGTCTGCAGTCGTTGCAGGAGGACTTTACCTTGTGGCTGGTCTTGCCCAGTAAACATCAAGAAGTTAGCCCTCCATTGTCCTAGGTGTTTCAGAGGCTTGCTTGTCCAAAGACAAGATGGCTGTCTGCCCTCTCTACAGTTCCATTCTGGTTCAAGGATTCTATGATGCTATCAGTTAGTCACAATGAGCAATGTTGCCTAGATACCTTGGGGCTTCTTTCTTTTTTAAGAAACCAGAGTCGGAAGACATGTAGGCTGGGTAACCTCCTTAAACTTGCCAAACATGCTGGGAGAACAAGTCTGGGAGAAATCGGTGGCATAGCTACCTGAATCTCTGAGCCAGATCCTCTCTCCAGGCAGGGTGACAAAGGAAGAGACCCCCAGCGGCAGTGTATGAGAGAAGTGTACCCCAGGATTCCCAAACTCATCTGTTCTGAAGGGACTGGGCCATCTGTGTACACAAAGGCAAAGCAGATTCATATTATAAAAGAACTTTAGTAGAATTAATGTGCATAAAGAGAGAAGAAAGGATAATAGTTTCCCAATAAAATACCCAAGATTATCCATCTCTTCATGGGCAAATTTGCCCAGCCAAATAGGGTCAGTGGCCTGAAGCAGGGTCATTAGGTCTGAAGGCTTGCCACAAGTCTAAGACATCTTCCAGCAGGGAACCATAGGAAAGGGGTTCTGAAGCAGGTCCCAGAAAGCTGGGACAAAAAGAGATGCCACATCAAGATAAAGGCAGCCAATGTCAGCCTCCCCACAAGTCCCTTACCCATGTCTCTTTCAAGTGTCTCTACAGGTCTCTCCTCCACATGTCTCCTTCGTAGACATGTGGAGAAGATATGAGGGTCTTATGTACTGAGGGAAACACTATTCATTTATCACTAAATAATTGCAAACTGTTAAGAAGTTTTTAAAACAAAGAGTGGTGGGCTGCACTTGTTTCATGTGAAACACCCTGAATCAGTACAGACGCCTTCCCAGTGGCACCAGGGTGCAAGTCCAGCCACAGAAGCAAGTCTCCATCTTCTTCCCCAGAGCCCACCTGCCTTCCATGTTATGTAACTTCACCTGGCCACTTGGCTCCACCCAAGTGGGGCAGGGAACATGATCCCTCACCCTGTAAGGGAGATGTGTCTGTAACACCAGCAGAACAAGTAAGAGAGGATTGTGAGCTGGGGGAAAATATCAAGGAATGGAAGTGGCTGAAGCATATTAGTGGGGAGCTCAGTCAGTCAAGCCACATGAGCAAATTACATGTATGTTTCAAGTCCAGCCGCCACGGAACCCAAAGTCATACAGAACGGACAGTTCAGGTCTCATCTGAAACATGTGATTTCTCAGGCCACATGCTTTGCTTTTACAAGTTGGCCCATTTTTGACCCAAATATGCCAAATAGAGACATAATTTAATGCCCTCGGGAAAAATAACAAAATGCTGAGAGTACCACAGAACCTGGGTTTCTCTTTCAACCTTCCAGAAGAAGTCAGCCAGAAGCCTGCCTGTTTGTCCCTGACCAACTCAGCCACCAGAGGAAAGGCTGGTCAGTATCCAAGGCCCAGCCGGCCCAACCCCGAGGGTTCCTAGTTCTCCTTCTGTGCCTGCTGCAACCTCTTGGCCACAGCAGTGATCAGAGCTGCTCCCTTCCCGCTCCCATCTTCTGACAGCATGAACGTCACGTCACATTGAGGGGCTAATTCTTTCACAGTTTCCTGCAATATCCGAGAGAAGCTAAGAAAAAGAGAAACATCATCAGCATTAACATACGGGATCAGCATATTTATAAATGATTCCAATCTAGCTTGTTCCTTCCAATTTGCTTCTCACGGTTCTGGAACAGTTTCTTAAACAACTATTTAAATAGTTTTTAATTGTACCTTTTATTGGGTAACTACTAATGTTAGAGACTATTCTAGGGGTTTTATCCTGGATTATCATCAAAGTATAACAAATAATAGTTGAAAATTTTATTATCTTCACTACAAAAATAAATTAATGCTCAAAAGTTAAGAAATTTGTCCAAGTTTACATAACTAGTAAGCTTATTAGTATTCAAACAAAGTCTGTTTTTCCCCCAAAGTCTTCCCTTTTTGTTGAAATTTCCCCAAAATTTTTATTTATTTATTTGTTTATTTTAAAAGATTTATTTATTTATGTATACAAGCACTGGGTACAGTCAGAAGCGCGGGAGGGTGAGAGATTTCACCAGAGCCAGAGCGGGGAACAGAACAAGGAAGTACACTGCTGAGGGGAGCAGCGGGCGGCAGAAGAGGTCTGCGCACCATGTAGGCCCCTCGCCTGGTGGCCGAGCATCGAACCGGCGCTGCAGAGGCTGCAGGCAGATTCGCAACCCAGCGCTCAACCACTGCGCCACTGGGGAGACCCCCCAAATTTTTATTTTGGAAATTTTCGAACTTGCAAAAAGTTGAAAGATTAGTGTAGTGAATATATATATACATTTTACAAAGTGGAAATTTTGCACTGTTGACATTATCTGTCCACTCATTCATCCATCCCTCTCTCTCTGCGTTAATCTCCCCTGCAAAAAGCACAGTCTTACTATGACACTGGGTCTCTCTCAATTATCTTTTGAGATATTAAAAATATTTGAATGGGCATCTTGGGAGTAGTTACCAGGCTTAGTCTATGAGGTCTAAATGTATTTACCAGAGGCCTGGGCATCTAGGCCTCAGGTCTTGGGATCTTGAGTCACCATGAATGGTATAGATAGTGGTCATCTCTGAGGTGAACACACCAGAACATGTTCTGAACCTGACTCCAGCACACAGCCATGGACAGCACTGGAGCTCCTTGGGGCTCTACCAGTAACATGGGAGGGAAAGGTCTGAGGTCTTATTGGAGGCAGAGTAGGGTGATTATCCCCAAACTACCTGGGAGAAAGAAGGAAATGGCTTGGCAATCACTGCTCAATCGAGTCTTTTCTCTTTTTAAGGTTTTAAAAATTTTTACATTCAGTGGTTTTTTAGTATATTCAAAAAGGTGTGCAACCATCACTACTATCTAACCCCAGCACATTTTTATCACCCTAAAAAAAGGGGGAAGGAAGGTAATAGACTATGGTAGTAGACTATGGGTGATTTGATAGTGGGTGCACTACAGTGGTGACACCCAATGGGGGTATCCTAATATTACCTCAATTAAAAATAATAAATTTTCATAAAGACAGAAGGAAAGAACCTGCATTCATCGTCACTCCCCATATGCGCCAGCCCTTAGGAGCCCCCAACAACTGATGTACTTTCTATCGCTATAGCTCTGCCTAATCTGGATTTTTCACATAGCAGAATCATCTATGTGACCTGTGTGTCTAGCTTCTCTCACTCAACATGATGCTTTTCATGGTACATCAAAGTTCACTACTTCATTCCTTTTTATGAGGACTATTCCCTTGTATGGATGTACCACATTTTGTTTTTCTATTCATCAGGTTGTGGAAATTTGGATTGTTTTCCCTTTTGACTATCATGCTGTTATGAACATCACCAGCAAATCTTTGTGTGAACATGTTTCCAGTTTGCTTGGGTACACCTAAGAAAGGAATTCTGGATCATACGATAACTCATGTTTATCTTTTTTAGGACTCACCAAACTGTTTCCCACCAGCATTGTATGAGGACTTCAATTTCATCACAACCTCATAAATACTAGCTTTTGTCAGTCTTTGAGCATCTCTTCCTGTGCTTATTGGCTATTTGTAGGCATTCTTTGGAGAGATATTTATTGAAATCATTTCCCCGTCTGTGAATTGGGTTACTTGCCTTTTTATTGTTAAGTTGTAAGTATTCTTTATATATTCTAGATATGTCTCTCATCAAATACATGGTTTGCAAATATTTTCTCCCATTCTGTCTTTTCACTTTCTTATCAGTAATTTTGGATAATTATTCATAAGAGGACAAAGGATCAAAGATTACAGTAATACTATTCAGGTATACCTTTCAGCATGACTAGAAGTTTTTATAAACTTGTTAATACTTTTCACCAAAATGAAATAAAAATAACAGTTTGCATCATTGCTGCTTTGTGATGTTCCATGTTCTGCAGGCACTATTTAACTTAATCACAACAATAACCTATAAAGTGGCTACAATTTTTATGTTCATTTTACAGATAAAGTACTGCCCCTCAGCCTCCCAGCTTTTAAGGTGGAGCCAGGATTCAAACTCATGTTGCCCAAAAGGACTCTTAATTCTTCTGTCCACTAATTCTGAGCTAAGAAAATTATAACTATACTCGATAAATGCCCTCTCCTGTACAAAACGTCCAGTTCTCATTACTTCACTGTGAGGTTGGGTGGGAATACACTAATAGTTACTTATATTTTTTGAGCAATGTGTAAAGCACTTCATATCATAAACTCATTATGCAGCCCTCTGAGGTAGAGATTATTACTGTAGCCTTTTACAGATGAGGAAGCTGGGGTTCCATGCAGAAGCCTGATGAGCCTATACCATGCCACTAAGAAGCCACCAGAGCTCAACACACCTTTACTGTCAGATTCAACTGAGCACCCACTCAGCCTCAGTACCCGCCCACCCTGCCCCTCTCAGGCACTCACTGTGGGTGCAGCTTGTATAGGGTGCCATCCACGCCTACAGTGATCTTCAGGTGCTCAAGCCCCTGGTTTTCCCTCCTTTTTTCCACAATGGCAGCCAGGCCAGCGCCACAGAGCTGGGCCGCCCGCCGGGACACAGCTCCACACACCTCCTTCACCACAATGCTGTCCTCGCATGTGCTGTCCAGGCCAAGCTGCTGCAAGATCCCCCTGACCTGGAGGAGGGCCAGCCGATCACTGCAGGCAAGAGAGCGAGATGTCAGGACCTGCTTCTTGGGGCCTTGGCACCTGCTCCACATAGCATACAGGCCCCCAATCCTAGATGTCTTAGCAGGAAGAAGGAGAAAATGATCCAGGTGATGGCTAGGTAGGAAGAGGATGCCTCAGAAGCTGAGACTCCAGAAGGTTCTGCCACTCTAGGAAGTCTCATCACCTTGAAAACAAAATGTGAACACCTCTGTGTTAAGCGTATTCAAGTGTATTATCGTATTAGGCACAATTATTAGATTCAGTAACCAACATACCAGGGACCCATTTTTCAGAAGATAAATCTGAGGTTCAGAATGTTAAAGACTTGCCCATAGTCAGTAGGAGTTGGAAATCAAACACACATTTTCTCACACCAGGTCTGGTCTCCCCCATTGATCATGGCAGGGTCTGATGCTCTGGTCTCCTTCAATTGGAGGCCAACTTTCTTTCCCTTTAACTTTTTCTCATTCTTTACTTTCTCCTTCCAACTAGATGGAGGCTCAGAGTATATTCTTAATAATGGCCAGCAAAAGGCTGGGCTATGTGTATTTCATGGGCAAGAAAAGAAATGAATGTACAATCAGCATTTTAGCTAACGCAAGCTCATTAAATTCATAAGCACATGCAGATAAGTATTCATTGCGGGGCACAGACTAACTTGTGTCTAGACCCTGATTATCCCAGTGAATTTAAACAGAGCTCTGACTTGCAAGCTGAACAATGAGAGGTTATATTCTTGCTTGTCTAAAGTAATACTTAGAGAAGAGTGTTATCAAGGGAGAACAATTAAGAAACAAGCTGTGTGGCCACATAGGGGATATGGGATAAATGATGGTGTATCCACCCTAGAATTCTTTGTAGAATCTAAAGATGAGTTTGCATGAGAAAACAGTACTATGGGAAATGTTCATGACATATCAAATGAAAGAAGAGATTATAAAATACTATGTGCCATATGATTTTAGTTGTTTTTGGCTTTGTTTTTAATGCTTCTTCTTGCACAAAAGAAAAAAAGAAAAGAAAGAAATCTATTCAGATGCTGGTGGGATTATAAGAAATTATTTCCCCCCACCCTCTGTTTATAAAGGAGTGATATTTGTAAAGGAAAGAAAGAAAAGTAGGTTGGTTTTTTTTTTTTTTTGATCTGTATATAAAGAAAAGCTGACGTTCCATTCACAATATAGTCTTTCCCATTTATCTAGTTTATATATATATACATATATAGATATACATATATACATATATAAAGTGATATATATATATATATATATCTTTTATATATCCCCTTATTTGATCCTCAGAGTAATCCTTGGGGTTAAATAGCAGAGCAATGATTTAATCTTATAAAGAAGGAAACTGGTGCCTAGAGAGGTGAAGCAACCTGCCTCAGGTCACCCAGCATAAACAGGTTAAGCAGTAAAGATGAATTTTAAACTCAGGCTCTGACTACAAACTAAGGGTTCTTCTCCCTGAGAATCACTGTCCTACGCATTCAACAAATGCTTTGAATGAGCCACCGTCAGCAAGGCATCTTCCATCTTCCAAATGGCACAATATGGCTACGATCTTTTTATTCCATGAAGGTTTAAAAAGAAAAAAACACCAGTAGAAGGCAAAGTATCCAAGTAAATACCTCTTGTATGACAAAAGCAAATATTTCTGGAGGCAACTACGTGCTGACAACTTGCACTTGTCCAGGTATGACTTGGTATTCAGGCCAAAATAAAAGCAGGCAAAGATAAGCCAATCTGTCTTATCTATTGCATGCAAGAGAGAAACTATTTCCCCCTACAGCAAAAGAGAACCCCTTGGTTAGCAAAGGTGATGACTTTTAACTTGTATTTTTGGATCTGATGGGTTGAAGACCAGACCAACAAAAGGATGCCCAACATCCACTAATCAACACTTTAAAACCACAAAATTGCTGCTGCTGCTGCTCTTGCTGCTGCTGATTCTACCCCCTGATAAGCAAGAACTCCTTGGCAGTACTTCAGCTAAATTTCCTCATTAAGGAAACTTTCATTTTCTTTTTTCCCCAACGTGATTTTTGGCTTGCTGGAATCAGCCCATAAAGAACAGGAGTATTAAATTGAATGAATGAATGAATGAAAATTGAGAGAAATTCCAAACATGAAACCTCTGATAACATCTAATGTTAATATGAAAAGTGATATAACGCACACATTTGGACATAACTGGGGGTGGTGGAAAATGGACCTTTTTAAATAAATAGGGTGTCCCTGGGGAAATGTTTCTTTGAACAAAATGCTTATACTCCTAAGGAAACAATACATGAGATACAAATGACTATGTGTACAAAAAGAATAATTATGAGTTTTATATATAATATAGTAATATTCTATTATTCAAAATTGTAGAAATTCATAAATTATAAGTTAGACATTCTATATTAAGGGGAAAGTTTAGTAAATTATAGTATAGCAGCAATTAACATTATGCAGTCATATAAAATGACAGTTACACCAGAGTTGATATGGGGGAGTTTCTCCTTCTTAGAAATAGTCCATCTAGTAAATGCAGAGGTGATAGCATTAAATTACCATCATTTTACAAGAGCTAGTGAAATCATGGATCTAGGCAATGAGCATCGACGGCCACTAACATAAAAGTCAGACAGACAGCTCAATGCTGTGGATGACATAATGTTTAAATTTCAACAGTGATCTTAACCATCTATCTGAGTCTAACTCTGAATTTGCGGGAAGCAGAAGGGTCAGCAGAAAAATTTCAATGCTGTAATTAGCAAAATCTGGAATACAGAAAATTTATAGCATGATCTGTTCATCAAATACACGATGAGGGAAAATACGAGGGGGAGCCTATAGATTAAAGGAGATTTAAAAAACATAACAACCTAATGCAAAGTGTGGGCCTTGTTTGGATACTAATACAAACAAATACACGTGAAAACCATTATTTTTCAACAATTTGGGAAATAAGAACACTGACAGGATCTTTCACATGACTGAGGTTTATCATCAGCTATTTCAGGTGTGATAATGGTACTATGGTGATGTTTTCTCTTTTTTTTTAAGAACTTATATTTGAGAAATACATTTGGGAATATGTATAGACTAATTGATATAAAGCATGGTATTTGTTTCAGCTTGGGGATGGGGAAAGCAGGGAACATGTAGAGGGACCCAATTTAGTCATGAGTTGATCAGGGTGGTGATGAAAACCGTAGGTTCATTTTACTATTCCCTCTACTACTTCTGTATATATTTAAAACTTTCAGTAATAAAAATCAAACAACAACCAGAATTACAATTGGAAATTTCCACAAACATTGAATAAACAATATACAGAATATGTGCAATATGATTGACTTGCTAGCAAAAATATGTTTACACACATTCAAAAACTTGAAATGAAATATGCAAAAACCAAAACAGCTGTATTTAGTAATGAGCATGTGAATAATTTTTTTAAGACTTTTCCTTCATATTATGTACACATCACCTTTTCAGGAACCAAAGAGGATCCCTTTTCAGCCTAATCTAACTCCTGTGCAATAGCTTAGGAACCTCGAGGCCCAGTTAGGCCTGCTGGCCTTTCAGCCCTGTGTGCATCTTCAGTTTGTCATCCTGATGTAGCTGGACAGAGGCAACATTCCAGGAAGCAACCTCTGCTTGACCTGGACCTTACTGCTTTCGTTTTTAAACCTCAAATTTGCACAACCTGGTGTGACAGCAGTACATCCCAATCAGGGCCTTTTACACTGAGCAGGCAAACTTGATCGCACATCACCTCTCAATCTGGGACAGGAACTTGGTTTCAAAGATTCCCCTGGTCCGGAGACGCTCTGAAATCTGCCCACGGAAGAGAAGACCCTGTTTAGTCAGGTCAATCAGGATCTGCCGCACAATCTCGCCAAGGTACATCCCACTGGTCATCTTCTCGTATCTGGTGGGGGAAGAGTGATGATGGTGGTGAGAGCAGGAAGATTGGTGCTAGTGTGTGGTTCCTGAAAGGAACAGGCACTTACCAGCTGCCTGGTTCAGAAAGGTTCATAGTGGGCAGCAGGCCCACACAATGCAGAAGAAAACACAATGCAGAAGACAACGTGGTATGGGAAAGCTAGGGGTTGGATCCATGCTGACCAGAGCCAGGTGTCAGCTCTGCCAAGACCTGAGCTGCGAGACCTGGGCAAGCGCTGTAAGCCATCGCCTATGCTACAGAGGGCAGAGCACTGGTCCTACCCAAGAGTTGGGAGGTAGGCATCTGGAGCACAGTAGGTACTGAGCCAAACTGAGTCCTTCTCTTAGCCCCAAACCATTTCTCCTTATTCTGTATTATAACCCTGTTCTACTGAAGATTCTTACTGGCTTGTGGTAGTTGAAGAAATTTGTTCCACTTAAGATTTTGCTCCATGAAATAATACACTAAACTGTCTTCACACACCAGGCTGTGAGTTCCATAAGAAAGGAGCAAGAGGACAAGGGTCACTGACCAGGACAGGCACTGACCAGGACCTGCACAGGTGACCGTTATAACAATGAGGGACACTGTACTGCCACTGCCTGCAGAGTTAAGTGGAAATCTGAGTGTGGCTGAGCCTAGGGACTGGATCTGTGTTTTCTCAAGTGTTCAGGACCCCACTGGTCTAAGGAACTAACACTGAAACAGACATATTATTGAGACTACAAGGCAAATTAAAAAGTGCTGCGCTCTTAAACTCTCTCTCCAAAAATGTCAGCCTCCAGTGGATTCAGACACAAAACTAAGTCAGGAGGAACTTATCCATTGAGAAGAGCCCTGATATTTGGATGTCCTAGCTTGGAATTCATAGATAAGTTCCCTTTTTTGGAGCAACCCCCGGCTCAGCTAGGCTTACCACACCTGTCTACCAACTGAAAAGAAAAGTACCAAAGGAAGACAAGGAACCACCAGGGCTGCGCATGGCCTTGTCCAAGCTTCTTCCAATACAGTGTCCTCAATTCAACAGTGACCAAGCTATCTCTGGCTCAGGCATCCCATTATATTTCCTATCTGCTCCGCTTCTCCACTTGGATGTCACCCATCACAATAAATCTATATTCTCACCTCATTTTATATACTAAGACACTGAGCTTAATTGTGACAAAGATGATATGGCCTGACAATAAAACATTTACTATCTGGTGATTTACAGAAAAAGTTTGCAACCCCCTGCTATAGTGGATGATCCCAGGTTAGTGATCAATTCACAGCATGGTATCTCTATCCCTATCTAAGCCCCATCCTCTCCTATTTAAGAAAGTATTTGAGGCTGCAAATGAAAATACTTCAGTGTGGTTAGTAATTGGAATGCACCTTACGAATGATTGTGACCCATGTGGAACATGACATCTTAGTTGAAAACCATGATTGTCATCTATCACCAGTGGCCACTTCCCTACCCCCCAGAAAAACAGAGGTCAGCAACCTGGCAGCCAACTCTTGACCTCTAAAATGGATCTACTAAAAGCCCGTTCCTAGAGAACTCACTAAGTCACCACACACCTACTCTGTGACAGCTGGTGCACAGTGAGTGGACATGCCCATGACCTTTGTCTTGCTTCCAGAGTCACCCTTATGGTACCTTGTGGTAATCAGAAAAGGGACCCTATCCTTCTACTTATTGGAAACTTGTCATAATATTTTGCTTCTGTTCAAATAATACACTTCACTGACATCAATGGAGAGTTATAATAAATACATTACGCTGTAGTGTCTATGATATGAAAATGGTATCACCCCCCTAGATATGGTAAAGGCATAAACTATTAAACAAATGCATAAATGTACACACCCACACTCCTCACCTCTGTTTGCCAGAATTCAAGGACCCCTCATCCACCTCCTTGTCATATTGTGTTCGGATATCATCTATGCAGCCATTGTCTCCAAACCCTCCCCACTCAGTGTTAATACACATCTTCCCTTCATCCCCTTCCACCAGCTCAATGTTCTTCATCTCTTCCATATAGCACAAGTTGCTGCCAGTTCCTAGGAGGAATTATAAAGGGATTTAAGACTGCAGATGACATCACCAGGCAGTGGAGTGCCGTGGATAGGAACTTAGACTTGGAGTCAGATACAAAAGCATGTGTTTTCCAGCTTTACATTCATAGCTGTGTGACCTTAGACAAGTATCTCATCTTTTAAAGGTTCAGTTCCTTCATCTTTAAGAAAGAAATAAAGATTCACTATAAAGATTTATTATAAGTTAGCTATAAAGAAAAAAAGGAAAGACGTTCCTGAGCTTCCCCTATGTGGTAAATACTCAATGAACAGTGCAGGTGATATCCTCCTCCTCCCCACCATCATCATCAGTTTTGTTAAACTCTAGGTACACTTGAACTTTCAAGTCATCGTACAGCTAACAATCAGAGCTGGAAGGGACCCCAGGGAATCACTTAGTCTTGGATAAGGAAATCCTGACAACTGGAAGTCACCCTCTTTGCCCATGACCTGGCCTCAGAACTATTCTCAGCATAATAGTCCAGGCAACTATTATATTTAATCAAATAAGTCCGACCTCTTTCCCTTTCTAGATATAGCCCACCCTCTTCCCATAGATGAGAAAACTCAAGATGAGAATAAGTAGCCTCTCAAGGTCACAAAGTAGTTTAACGTTGAATAAGATGAAATCTCATACCTGGCACTGAGGACCTTTCAGTATATGCCCATATCCTTGCTCCACTTCCAGGAAGTCCAACCAACTGGTTCAGCTTCCCCAGATTCAGTCGATACTACCTCAGCTTGTCACTTTGAATGCCCTTCATCCCAAATTCACTAGTTCAAATTCTACCTGTTGGGGCCTTCCTGATGGCACAAGGGGTTAAGCATAGCACTGTGAAGCTATCTGCAGAGTCTGCAGCATGAGTTCGATCCCCAGCCAGCCAGGGAGAAACCCACATGGCACAAGAGACCTCTCCTGTCTTACCCACTGCTCCCCTCAGCAGTATATTTCAGTCAATCTGCCTGTTCTTTTCCCCACTCTGTTGCTGGTGAATCCTCTTACCCCCTGTACCTTTGACCTGTACTCCAGCTCTTGTATGCATACATAAATAAATCTTTAAAAAAAAAAACAAATTCTACCTGTCCTCTCACCTCTGAGAAAAGTCATCTTCCAGCCACCCACCCTTGCCCACAATCACTGGCAGACTTCTCCCAAAGACCCCTAAAGTGTTTGTGACACTTCAGGCCAGTCTCTTCTCTCCTTGTTTCTCTGCAGTTTTTCTCCATACTATGCACCCCAACAGCCAGAGAGGCTGAGAACAGAGAAGTTATATATTGGAGAAGAGTGAAAATCTTAACTCCCTTAAGCCCCAGCCCTAATTTGAAAATCCCTACTAAGCCATTCACCTTCCTCAACAGAAAGGACAACCTTGGATTAGGACCCTTAGTGGAGAAATATCATTAGCAAAGTTTCAGTAATCAGGGACCTGAATCCAAATCCAACTTCATCTCTGCCTCAGAGAAAGCTGGCTTCAGAGCATCTATGTTAAAAGAGAACCTCCAAAAGACCAGAAGGGAGTAGGCCAGTGGGACATGCTTGACCACTTACCTGCAATCAGGCCAATCTCACAATTAGGATCTTCATAGCCACAGGTCATCATGGTCCCCACTGTGTCATTCACCACAGCAACTATGTCCAGATCAAACTCCTGCCAAGGGAACAGCTCTACTGTAAGTAGAATGTGTGAGCCAAAAAGGTTCAGGAGGAATTTTCCCAAAGGGGAAAAGCCAGAGTCATAGGGACTGGGCATGTGAAGGCAGAGCTGAGGGGTCCAGGAGAAAGGACCCCCCAGGACATGAGTCTCAACATCAACATACATTTCTCCTCTTGATGGCTTCCCTGAGCAGGTCCACCACGTCTTCCCCTTCACAGTCAGTGGCCTTGAAGCCTTTGGTCCACCCAACGAGTATTCCCTGAAAGAAAGGAGAAGAAACTATTTGAACAATAGCTTTTTGGGACCACTGGAGGATAATAACCTTAACATCAAATAGATGCAGGACACTGTAGTTGGCTGCTAGTCAAATGCATGTGATCTTGACAATGCTTGCCTCTCTGCCCTAACACTGGCCTAGAGGCATCACAGAACATGATGTTCAGACAAGGTCTCCTGCCAAGTGGAATAACTGCAGCCACTCTCATTCACCCAGGGTCAATTTGCCATGATTGGAGACAGGAAAGGCCTGGATCATAGTGATCCTACTACTAATTTAGCCAAGACAGATTAAGATGTGCTTAAAGATAAAGATATAAAATGTACATCAAAGCATTGTTCCATAGTAAAAACACAGAGGCATGCCTTCAATGCAACCATAAGCATCTATCACCTTGTGCATTAATACAGGAAATGTTAATCTAGTCATAAAAAAATCACTGCCGTAAGAGAACACTGAATGTTAGAGAAAGATAGTCGCCATACACTATTAATTGAGCACACATTAAACAAATACAGATGATGAATTTTCCTTTCATTTTTTAAAAAGGGAAACTCCTCTCTCCATCTCTGTCTCTGTCTCTCTCCCCCCACCCCCGACATCTGGAAAAAAAGCTTGGAGCAATGTATATACAAGGGGATAAAGGCTTAGAGTGATTCTCTCTGGGTAAAAGAATGTGGCTGCCTTTTGTTCTCTCCTTGTTGTGTCTTTGTATTTTCTAGTTTTCTTAAAATTAGCATGTAAAATATTTATAATATTGGGGAGAAAATTTTAATTTTTAAAAGGTAGGCACCGTTACAATATTAGCAATATTAGCCAGAGGCAGGAATGAGTCTAGCCTGGCTCTGCAACCTAGTACTGGGGATGGGGTGAGTGCAGGCAGAGGAGAGGCATCTAGGTCAGGCACCTGGAATCAGAGAGGCTGCCAGCAACTCTGATGACATTGCCTTCAAGCATGAGGCTGGATGGCCACCTCCCCTGAAGGCCTACAGTCCTTGTCTCCCTCCTTTTCTCCACATCCCTTGGAAGCTGGGTTTTCTTGATCCTTTCCTGGTGGGTATATGGAAAACATGAGAGAGATCTCCCAATTGAAAAATCTCTGTTATTAGTTGCAAGTACATGATAATATGCTTTAAAGGTCTCTTTTTTTCTCCCCAGCCATTGGTGTCTTTTTTCTCAGCTGTCCAATGGTCTCCAAACACCTCCCCTCCACCTTAACTGTGTCTTTATAACTACTGGAGAGAAGTTATGTGTCCTGGATGGAGAGTAGCCCATGCCCTGGCTCAAGTGGAGCTGCTGTGTCCTGGTAGCCATAGATCATTCAGTACCATAGACAGCTGCATGTAGCTTCCCTTCCTTGTGCACTAATTTTAATGGCAACAGTAACACAGGAATGTATCACATTTTTTTTATTAAAGCGTTACTGATAACAATAAAGTGCCATTTAACTCCCTATCCTTCCAATCTGAGGAACAATCCTTATAGACCTTTTCTGTTTACATTTACATATATTTTTAAATAAATAAATTCTTACTGTGTGTCTATGGAGAGCTGTGTGGAGATTTCTGGACCTACTAAACATAGAGCTTCCATATGATCCAGCAATTCCACTCCTAGGGATTTACCCAAAGGACACAGAAACATCAATTCCAAAGAGCACCTGCACCCCTATGTTTATAGCAGCACTGTTTACAATAGCTAAGCTTTGGAAACAACCCAAATGCCCAAAAGTAGATGACTGGATCAAGAAGATGTGGTACATATATACCATGGAATATTACTCAGCATTCAAAAAAGACAAACACATGCAATTTGCAGCAACATGGATGGCGCTGGAAGGGATCATGCTCAGCGAAATAAGCCAAAAAGAAAAAGAAAAATACCGGATGGTCTCACTCATAGCAGGAATCTAGAAAACTTAAATAAGGGACCAGGAAAATGAATATAAGAAAGTGAAAATCAAAATCAACAAAAAACTATGAACCAGAGACACTTTTTGGGGGGGGGGGCGGGAGGGGAAGGATTGGGGTCAGAATGGGGCGTTTGCAATTGTATGGGGGAATATAAAAATAAAATTTAAGATTAAAAAAAAAAAAAAAAAAAAGAATAGTTTGGGATCCAGGTAGAGAACTTAGAACCTTAAAGGCAAGGATTTTACCTTATTTTTGGTCCCCCTCCTCACCCAAATGCCAGTTAGTGATGTTATAATGTGATTTGATTGAATAATCTTGAGATATTAAACATTAAAATACAGATTTTCTTTAAAAAAAAAAAAATTCTTACTGTGTGTGACTGGGTGCTATTCTTGCTGTCAGGAGTTTTCTGGTTAGCTGCTGTGCTGAGCAGAGCCCTCCCTGTCACTCATGAGTGGTGCTCTGTGTTAATGCCAATCCTGGGCAGCTGGTTGATGTGAGTCTATCAGAGAAAAAGAGTTCTGCTCTCCATGAGGTGCTGAATGGTGCTTTTATCCAAGAATTCTAAGAAAGACCTTGTGATGTAAGTTTCTGCATTATTATGAATAATTTATTAAAATTATTATCCTTCATGTTCCTCAGTTTCAACTCAATTAGTGTTCATATGATAAATTCCTCCTGAGAGTCTAATATCAAGAAAGAAATAGGGCCTCTCTGGTGGCGCAGGTGGTTGAGCGCTGTACTGTGAAGCTGTCCACAGCCTCTGCAGCGTGGGTTCGATCCTGGCTGGCCGGGGAGAATCCCACATGGCTCAGTGGACCTCTCCTGTCTCGTCCACTGCTCCCCTCAGCAGTGTGTTTCCTCAGTCTGCCTGTTCTGTTCCCCATTCTGTCTCTGGTGAATCCTCTCACCCTCCCATGCATCTGGCCTGTACCCCAGTCCTTGTATAAATAAATAAATCCTTAAAAAAAGAAAGAAATACATTTCTTCTGCTGCACTGGTAAGCTTTCATTTATCAGACAATAAAAACCCTGCCACTTCTTGTGTGTCCTTGTTTACACTGACTGTGCGAAAGGACAGATAATATTTCTGCTAAAGTATTGCTTGTAACCACTGTCTCTGTCTCTGTAATGTGCTTTGATCTCTCTTTTAAAGTACTCTTATGCATGTGTTCCTTTATTGCATACTACCCTAAATTCTTTTGTGAACTTCAATCAAAAAAATAATAATGAAAATGGAATATAATACGTAAATTAAGTAAGTAGTTCCAACTGCCCTGAACCCGAGAAAATAAGTCAATGAGCAGTGACTCACAGGTACCTTGAGATTCCCTGGTGGAAAAGGAAAGCCTGCCAGCCTAATGGTGAGCCTGGCTGGGTGCCTTACCTTGTCAATGCTCGTCTGTCTGCAGGGGAATGAGAATGTGAAGCCCAAAGGCAGCTGTGCTCCCTTGAGGCCCATGTAGTCCAGAAAGTCAGCAATGCACTGCACAATGTGGTCAAACAGCTGCAGGAGAGGGTAGCAGTCAGGCCCAGCTTGCAGTGATATGGGGTCGGGGGCTGGCCATCAGAAAACCCAGCCTAGCATTTACCTCCTCGCCGGTGCCCTGCATGATCTCTAGGGGGATGGCGAAGATCTTGTTGTACATTCGCACTGACCTCCGTCCGCTTCTGATTTTCACCAAGAGGACCCGGAAGTTAGTTCCCCCTAGGTCCAGGGCAAGGAACTTTCCATTTTCTGTGGTGGAGAAAGTGGGGGCTACACTCAACCAATATATAGAGAGCAGCACTGCCTGGAGGCTTTGAGAGGAAGAGGAGACGCTGAAACAGAGCAGACCCACACCCTGCCTCCTGGGACTCAGAGCCAAAGGGACATGGCAGTAGCACCACCTGAACTACCAACAATAAGGCACCAGACAGAGACCCCTTAACTGGAGTCAAGGACCCTGGCACTTCTGAGAATGACTTTTTATCTTGAGCATTATGATACACCCTGTAAAGAGGCTGGCCATGATGGCTCTTCTGGCTCTAATTCCATTGACTGATGGCATTCAAGGGAGCCTCAACTGTCTCTGCCTAGATATGGGGTATCTGGTGAAGGCCATAGGTGGAACTTGTATGCACAGAACCTCTGAGGGTGAATCCAGGCCTTGCTACCCTGACTACAACAAACTTTGGAGGGTATGTCCATTCTTTATATGACTTACAGAAACTGTCATGAACATGGGATGATTCTTTCTGTCCCCGCTTTCCCCTTTTCTGGATTCCCATACTTTACCTGACTGGTAAGAAAATGTAGTAAGTACAACCCCCAACGCCATCCAGGGCCACCCCAGTACAATATCTCTCACTTTGCCAATGTCACAGAACATCCTCGTTTGTTCATTGTAATTTTTCCCTTTGCCCTCTGACTCACTCATTCTGTTCAAGCCATACAGCTCATTTTGCTCTTGTTTGAATTTGCCAAAGATATTACTCCAGCTAGCTCTCCTACCTTCATCATATTCTGTTTTTCTTCATAGCACCTGCCATTACGTAGCTACCTACATATGTCTGATCGTTTATTGTCTGCCTGTCCAAGAGGCCATGTGCTCCACTGTGTTTTCCTCCAAGCTGTATTACGAAGGCAGAAGCACAAAAGAGTGAAAGAATGTATAAGTGAACAGTGTCTTTACTATGCTCAGTTTTTTCCCATGCAGATTCAAAGGATATTGTTTCTATGGTTAAGAGATCCAAAGTACAGCTGTGTTACCTTGTGTGTGTCATCTAATCTCTCTGAGTCTCATTTGTGGCATCCATAAAATGGAAATCATTTATGTAACATACAAAGTGGTTGTGAGGATGAAATGAAATTAAAGGTTTAAAAGCAAATTACAAGATGTAAAACATTTCACAAAGGTCATTATTTCTGGGTAAGGCTCACAAGGTTCAAAGAAGTGAACTAACTTGTCTAAAGAACTCACTATACTGTTTATGGGCTCCTCTCAGCTGAGCACAGAAGGATCGAGGATTGGAAAGGTCAGGGGAAGAAAGCAATGAGAGGGCCTCCCCAGTGGCGCAGCTGTTGAGCGCTGGGTTGTGAAGCTGCCCGCAGCCTCTGCAGTGCCAGTTCCATCCCCGGCTGCTCCCCGGCCACCAGAGGAGGGTCCCACATGGCGCGCAGACCTCTCCTGCCGCCCGCTGCTCCCCTCAGCAGTGTACTTCGGTCCTTCTGCCTGCTCTGCTCCCCGCTCTGGCTCTGGTGAATTCTCTCACCCTCCCGCGCTTCTGACTGTACCCAGTGCTTGTATAAATAAATAAATAAATAAATAAGTCCGTCTTTAAAAAAGTCTCTAAAAAAAATGAGAGGGGAGAGGTAGGCAGTAAAGAGCCAGAAGAGAAGAGTTTTAGAAAAGAAAGGGCAGATTCCTGCTGCCCTTCAAGTCAGACTACTCCAAGAGTCCAGATGGAAGCTCCCTAGGACAGTATCTGGGTTTTCTGTTTTGCCAGCAGCATGAGGTGAGCTCTGTGTTCTCTGCTAATTAGGTACAGACATGAAGCCTAACTTAGGTACTTTCACGGCAAATGCCTTGGATCAACCAAGGCAAAAAATTTCATAGCACTGACCTACGAACTCCCCATCCCGCCATCACAGACATGAATGAAGTTCTGAAACCAAAACACCTGGACTTAAGGAGTTTAGATGGGAGCTCTAGTGGCCTTCAGGAAAGGGAGCTGTGACAGACCTACCGGTGCCATCCGGCACTCCATAGACAAAGGTGGGCAACATCTTGACTGTGGCCAGTGGGTGGGTTTCCTTCTTCAGTCCATACTCAAGCTCAGCCCGCATCTTGTCCCGCACTCCCACCAGTTGCTCATGGGTCAGCTGGAACAAAGCCAGCACCTTGTCAATCTGTTTCCGCTGGGCCTGCAGGCGACAGGCCACTGCTGTCACCATGGCAGCCCCCTTGGTGCTGCCACTCTCTGATAGGAGGAAGCGGACGTCGCAGTTTGGGACCAGTCTCCTCACCACCTTATGCAGGCGTTTTGGGTATCTGAAAGAGGGGTGATGCCAAAAAATGTAACGGTCACAAAAGCCCAGGCCCCAAAATGGGAACAAACACGCATTGTCATGAAAGGGAGGTCTTTAGGAGCTTCAGGTACTAGATATGGGTGGAGGGGAGAGGAGTGGCTTGCGGGAGGGACTAGGGCAGCTGGGGCAGTTGGAGGGGCCACTCAGGAGTCTCAAAGAAGTAGCTATTATATCACCTATACTTCAACCAGTAGGGCATGTCCACAAATAATGTTTTGACTAAACATCATCTTTATCCAGAAGGGGAGGGTTTCCTTCCCATAGTTCTTTCTAGGGTGTACCCACTGACTTCCAATACCAACTCTGTTAGCCAGAAAGGCTTTTGCTTTTCCTCCTTCTCGGAAATTCTCATTCTCATGTTTTCTAACAGGATCCTTCATGTGAACTTGGCAACCTCTGCCATCCCTATTTTCCCCATTTATCACTAGTTGTATCTTACTTACCAATCTTATCATGTAGTAAGTATTCAATAATAATGGATAAATAGATGCATAGATATCTAGAGAACGACTTTCTAAGTCAGGAAATAGACTTCAGCAGAATATTTCTTTAAGAATGAGCCTCAACAGCAACCTAGCTAGCTAGATGAATACAGTCTCTGAATTTACCCTTTCCCTATAATCTCAAAACCAATAGGAGATGGTTGGTTCCAGCAGCTCAGAGAAGTAACATACTCCAGAGACAACCTTAGAACTCTGTCCCAGGGGACACTAGTTTGTGGGGAGCATGGGTCAGCTGCAAGCACTCACTGAGGGTGTATCTTATAGACTGTGCCATCCACGCCCACAGTGGTCCGGAGCCGAATGAGCTTCTTGTTCTCCCTGAGGCGTGTCAGGATGGCTGCCAGAGCTGCTGCACAGAGATTGGCTGAGCGGAAGGAAACGATGGTGCAGACATGCTGGACCGCAATGCAATCATCCTTAGAAGGTTCCAGGCCCAGATCAATCAGGATTTCTTTTGTATTGGCAAGGCCTTCTTTATACCTGACCATGAGACAGAAATGAGATGACCACACTTCTCCATCCCATGGAATACCACTTTGGAGAAGTGGTATTTGGTATTCTCCCATGGAGAACCAACTTTCCTTACTCTCAAGGTTGTGAAAATGAATAGGCTGGCACATAGCAAAATATAATAACAATGTTAGCAATGTTTATAGCAATCACCATTTATTCAGCACTCACTATGTGCCAGGAGCTTGACTAAGAATTTGACATGTATTAACTCAATTCTTCCAACAATGCTGTACAGAGCACCATCTCTATTATACAGAAGAGAGACATGAGGCACAGAGAAGGTAAGTAACTTGTCCACAGTCACACAACTAGTAAAAGTGAGGGTAAGCATTTGAACTCTGGCAGTTAGATGATCAACGCAGCCTGTCCCATATTACCTTTCACAGAGATTCAGTCACTGCAGGTGCCACACAAACACAGATTCTCAGAGGCAGAAGTCAGTCTGCTGAGCTCAGAATCTAAACTGATTATGAAGCTCAGGGCAATGCCAGGATTTATAAGCCTTAGACGCATGACCCTGAGTTGACTGGGGCCAGCTCCCTTTATCTCCCAGCTCCCCATTGCAGGGACCTGTCTGAGTGGCCTTAAATCATCAAAGTTAAAGACAGTCCCAACAGCACCAGAGAGAGAAAGCTCTTACAGGACATCTTAACTTGGAGTCCATGCACTGCCTTAATAGGTCCAAGGATGCTCTGGTACAGTACGCCAAATGGTGTGAAAACATGCATTTTGGGGGTAAAGGGTCCAGAATAACTTGAAAATGATTCTCAAAAGAGTCTGACACCCTGAAAAGTGACAGGGAATAAGAATGCAGCAAAGTATGAGGAGGTGATGTGTCTTTGTTTTTTTTTTTTTTTTAATAGAGGCATGTTTTATTTATTTATTTGTTTGTTTTTGTTTGTTTTTTGTTTATACATGCACTGGGTACAGTCAGAAGCGCGGGAGGGTGAGAGAATTCACCAGAGCCAGAGAGGGGAGCAGAGCAGGCAGAAGGACCTAAGTACACTGCTGAGGGGAGCAGCGGGCGGCAGGAGAGGTCTGCGCGCCACGTGGGACCCTCCTCCGGTGGCCGGGGAGCAGCCGGGGATCGAACCGGCGCCGCAGAGGCTGCGGGCAGCTTCGCAACCCAGCGCTCAACCGCTGCGCCACCGGGGAGGCCCAGGTGATGTGTCTTTGATAGCAGCAACCCTGGCTGATAAAAACAATAAGAACACCAGTCTGAGTCAAAGCAGACATTGCTAACCCACCTGCAGCCATGTCCAGGTCTGAAATTGTCATGGCAAAGATGGAAGAACTGGTCCTATCTGCTATTTCACTACCACGAGCATACCTTGCCATGACCACCCACCCACACCCTCTGCAGAGTCGAGGCAACAGCTTACTTCTCCATAGCAGCTACATGTTGCGTTTCAATCTTGCCCTTGGTGTGGAGAGCGGGGGATATCTTGCCACCAAACAGGAGGCCAGTCTTGGCCATTTTCAGCAAGATGAGCCTGACGAGTTCACCCATGTACAGGCCGCTGATCATCTTCTCAAACCTACAATTTGGTGAACAGATGATTAGAAGCAATGTCTTTGATTATGCAGCATGCTTTCCCAAAGCCCATGGGCAGTGGAAGGTGTTTCACAGGTCAGGAGGCCTCAGTACTGTCACAGCATGGTGTGCCTTTGGCAGCCCCCCTATCCTCTCTGCACAGCACTAACAACATGATCAAAGGAGAGGGTTAAACAAAGGAGATTTAAGATTCCTTCCTGCTCGCAAAGAACTTGATTCCAAGGAGCTTTATCTCGAATCTCTCCTGCCATTCTCATCTTGGGCATAAGGAACTTCAACTTCAGAGACATCAGATACAGTCTCAAGATCACCTAACCATGGCATGACAAATCCAAATTTCAGACTCTGATGGTTTCAACTCCTACATCATACTTCAAAAGAGAAAAATACTTTGTTTATGAGATGGGCTTGGATGGTCCCAGCAAGTTTGTACAATGATATAAATGGAATATTGCACAAGGTTACCTGACCTTAACTTTGAGTCTGCAAACAACAGGCAATTACTAATTGTTTCCCAGGTAAAATATTAAATATAATTTTTATTCTCCAAATACAATATGACACAAAATCAAGAACAACCTATTTCATAATCAGCTTTATCTATTTTATTATTAAAAGTCTTAGAACATTATAGAAACAGAATACCAATAATTTTAAAAAAGTCCAGCTCGACTTTTGGAGAAATGGGATTTATTTCTAGTGAAACAGAGAGAGTGAAAATAATAAAGTCCAAAAAATGGGTATCACTTCCTTGACCCATAACTACTACTCAAAAGAGCAGGTATAACCAGAGCAGAGCTTTACTTTCTGGGTATGCAGTGCTAGTATTTGGATGGATGTAAAATCTTTGTTCACCAGAGCTTTCTGGACAAATGGTTGTTTCCAGGGCTGTGTCTGGAAGCGTATAATGAACCTGTAGCATCTTACAATGCCAGAAAATAGGAAGTATTTTAGAGAGGGACAGCTTGAAGAGGATTCCAATGGTCAAATCTGAAAAAGTGTGAGTGCTAAAATAAATAATGATAGGAAGAAATAACTCATTAAATAAAAAAAATCCATGAGTCTATAATAATATAAACAGATAAATGGAGGATATAAAAAGCTCTTCCAGAGGTGCTCTACTGGGTGGGAGAAAAAGGTGCATATCATACATTCAACAAGGGGCTGATATCAAAGATCTACAAAGAATTCATACAACTCAACAAAAAAACAAACAACCCAATCAAAAAGTGGGCAGAAGAGCACTTCTCCAAAGAAGAAATACAGATGGCCAAGACGCACATGAAAAACTGTTCCTCATCACTTATCATTAGGGAAATGCAAATCAAAACCACAACAAGATACCACATCACTTCTATAAGAATAACCTACATCAAAAAGACCAGAAACAGGGCCTCCCCGGTGGCGCAGCGGTTGAGCGCTGGGTTGCGAAGCTGCGCGCGGCCTCTGCGGCGCCGGTTCGATCCCCGGCTGCTCCCCGGCCACCAGAGGAGGGTCCCACATGGCGCGCAGACCTCTCCTGCCGCCCGCTGCTCCCCTCAGCAGTGTACTTCGGTCCTTCTGCCTGCTCTGCTCCCCGCTCTGGCTCTGGTGAATTCTCTCGCCCTTCCGCGCTTCTGACTGTACCCAGTGCATGTATAAACAAAACAAACAAACAAACCAGCAAACAAATAAATAAAGCATGCCTCTATAAAAAAAAAAAAAAAAAAAGACCAGAAACAACAACGGCCAGTGAGGATATGGAGAAAAAAATAACCCAATACATTGTTGGTGGGAACGCAGACCAGTTTAGTACCTTTGGAAGACACTATGGGGGTATCCCAAAGAACACAAAAAAAACACTAATTCAAAGGGAAACCTCACACCCATGTTCATAGCAGCACTATTTACAATAGCTAAGATATGGAAAAAAATCTAAAAAAATGCCCAAAATGGAGAAGTGGCTCAAAAAGATGTGTTATTTACACACAATGGAGTACTACTTTGCAGCACCATGGATGGAGCTAGAGGGATTATGGTAAGCAGGATAAGTCAGAAGGAGAAAGACAAATACTGGGTGGGGTCACTTATAAGTGGAACATAGAGAAAACAAACAACGGGCCAGATAAAACCTAACTTGAAAACTAACCCTTGAAAGCTGATTGTAGACCTGAGGAATCCAGAGAAGAAGGGGAGGGGCAAGAACAAAGTGGGAAGGCAGCAAACGAAATACAGCGGTGGACTATGGGTGCTTTGGTGGAGGAGGAACTATAATAACAACACATGAAGGTGGATATCCTCTATTCCCAAATTATAAATGATAATGAAAACCAACATTACCTCAATTTTAAAAAATATTTTAAAAAAAAGAAAGCGCTTCCTTACAGTGGAATAACAAGTAATATGCATAGAAGGAATGAGGGATTTAGAAATTCACCAATAGATGCTAAAACTGGAGTGAACATTGAATGAGAAGTAGGATATTTACATAGTCTTAAAGTATCTTTTCACCATATATTTATTCATTATAGGGATGATAAAAACATTATGTGGAGACACCGGGATATTCCCTTAACCGAGTGATTCAAGTTGGTATCACCAGTAATGGAACAAACATCATGTGCCTTTGACATGATGCCCTGGAAAAATGCATTATCTGCCTCTACTCATTAGAAAACATCAGATGAATCCCTATTGAGGGACATTCTGTAAGATATTTGGCCTCTATGCTGCAAGGTCATGAAAAAACAGGTATACTAAGTATTCAAGTTCCATATTAAAGAAGGCTAAAAGACAGCAAAACGCAATGTATGATCTTGGATTGAAGCCTAGATCGGGACATTTGTTTTTTTCTTTTATGAAGGACATTCGTGGCGCAGCTGGTGAATTTTGAATAAGCTCTGTAAATTAGATATTAGAACTGATTGTTAATTTCCTAATTTTGATAATTATGCTGTAGTTATATAAGAAAATGTATTTGTTTTCAGATAATATATTCTGAAGTATTTATGAGTAAAGAAATATTCTGTTTGTAACAGTCTCGAATGGTGCAGAAAAAAAAACTTTATATATACATATGTGTATTTTATGTGTATGTGGTTTTTTTTTTAAGATTTATTTATTTATGCATACAGGAAATGGGGTACAGGCCAGAGGTGCGGGGTGTGAAAGGACTCACCAGAGACAGAGTGGGGAACAGAACTGGCAGATTGATTGAAATGCACTGCTGAGAGAAGCGGATGAGATAGGAGAGGTCTGCTGCACCATGTGGGTAGCTCCCTGGCTGGCTGGGGATTGAACTTATGCTGCAGAGGCTAGGGATAGCTGCACAGTGCTGTGCTTAACCCCTTGCACCACCAGGGAGGCCCCCGTGTATGTATGTTGTAAATGCAAGTGTACACAGACACACCTTGGAAATATTGTGAGTGGTTTCTAGATCACCACAATAAAGATAATAATGCAATAAAGTGAATCACATGAATTTTTTAGTTGCCATTTAAAAGTTATGGCTATACTATTGCCATCTATTAAGTATACAATAGCATTTTGCCTTAAAAATAAACATACATGCTTTAATTTCTTGCTAAAAAAAATGCTAACTTTCTTGCTAAAAAAAATGCTAACCTTCATCTACTAATCATTTTGGTGGAGGGTCTTGCCTCCGTGTCAATGGCTGCTGACTGACTGGGCAGCAGCTGCTGAAGGCCGCTGGGGTGGCTGTGGTGGTTCCTTTAGACAATGAAGTTTGCTGCATGGGTTGACTCTTCCTTTCAAGCAAGATTGCTTGGTAGCAAGTGATGCTGTGTGATACATTTTACCCAGAGTAGAAATTCTTTTAAAATTGGTGTCAATCTTCTCAAACTCTGCCCCTGCACAGATGTGCTCCAGAAGTGTTGATAAGAATTAGGATGATGGCCTAGGGAAAATAACTCAATTTCCTTGGCTTCACTTTCCTCATCATCCAGTGAAACTGAAAATGCACACCTTGCCTCATAAACTTCAGATGGTAGATAACTAGTCACAACTAAAAGGCCTCCCAGGTATAAAGTGTACCTGAGTGATTGGGTACTTTCTGATGTTGATGCCCAATTACAGCTCAAGAGGACTCACAGTTGCTTCCCAGGGTTGAGAGAGCCAAGATCGATCTCCCGGTCAAACTCAGTGCGGATGTCTTCCAGGGCCCCATCGTCCCCAAAGGCCCCCCACTCAGTGTTGATGCACATTCTCCCCTCGTCACCTTCCACCAGGTCGATGTTGCTCATATCTTCCATGTAACAAGCGTTGGTGCCAGTGCCTGAATGAGGGATCAGAGAGAATATGCAAAGACAGAGGCTCCAGCTGGGCAAAGTCAGAGAACTCTTAGCTGCCTGAGAGTCCTCTGAATGTACCACAAAGTGCTTTTGATCCACTCCCGAGGCTAGTTCTCATTGAAGAAAACAGCTCTGGCAAGCCTGGGAGTTAGTAAGGAATAAAGCTGACATGTCAAATCTACACTTCCCAGGGTGTTAATGGTTTGCTTTCTGAATGGAGTCAATTGTGATGAAGTTCCTGATGAATATGTATGAAAGTTGACAAAGCACATTTACAAAGAGGAGGATGAGTTAGCCTCATCTTGTAAATGTATATATGTGTATATATATAAATCATATTTATATTTTTATATAGAATTATATTCATAAATTCTATAAATTTATATTCATATATTATATATATTTAAAATTGTATGACATATTTTATGTATTATATATAAATTAGTAATTATATGAATATATAATATATAAATTAACTAACCCATTAGTCATTCTTAAAATCCTTTCATTAAGCTACTTATATTTCTCTTTATTTAATACTAAAAATAGCCTTTATTCATGGCCAGCCACAAATGATTCCTAGCATAAGCTACATCCTATGTGATTAGCTATCACAACGTAAAGCAGTATTCTACTATTCAAATACAAAATCACTCCAAGGAAATGCCTCAGACCCTGGAGTACTGGAGAATGGCCCATACAAAGGCAAAATCTGTTTGGGGTCTAATAGGATGGTGGGCCTGGCACACAATAAGCACTCAGTAAATATTTATTGAATACATGGATACCTGTGTTATTTTTCTACCTCCCTATGTGGCTTCTCCTAAATGGAAAAGCCAATATCCATCAACAGAATTTACTCAGAATTTGCTGAAAAGAAGCCCCAACTTGCCATATCCCCATCCCCAAAAAATAAGTCAGATGAGTTACCAATGATGATACCAACTTCACAGTAGGGATCGTCATAGGCGCATGTCATCATGGTCCCCACAGTGTCATTGACCAAGGCCAGGATGTCCACATCTATGTCTTGCTGGAATACAAGTCCCAGAGGGTGAGTGGGTGGGAAGGAGGAATTATCCTTTTACCTTTCCCCACAAATAGATACAAATGCAATGAAGGTGACCAGTTGAGACAATCATTCTATCCTGCCTGCTAGGTCTGCCTAGAAGAAAAAAGAATTTTGTTGAGGTTCTGAGCTCTGGGGTAGACAAAAAGCAGTCGGGAAGTGAAGAGAGAAGCACATGTGCCTGCTTTACAGATGAAGGCCTCTGTGCAATAGAAATATGAAGAGCAGACCACCAGAACTACAGCTCTTGTCTGAGGAAAGCATATTTATTCTGCAGCAATAACATTTCCAGGAGAAAACACCAAATTCCTTGTCGATTAGGACATCTTCACCACCTCAGCCAAATCCTCTCCATGGGCAGCAGGAAGGGTTTCCCATGCTGCCAAGTTGACTTAAGTTATTGTACCATGATTTCTTAAGGTTTGGGGAGTACTTTATTTTTTTTTAAGATTTATTTATTTATGCATACAAGAGCTGGGGTGCAGGCCAGAGATGCAGGGGGTAAGAGGATTCAGCAGAGACTGAGTGGGGAGCAGAACAGGTGGATATACTGAAATACACTGTTGAAAGGAGCAGCAGGTGAGACAGGAGAGGTCTGCTGCGCCATGTGGGTTAGCTCTCTGGCCAGGGATCGAACTCATGCTGCAGAGGCTGTGGATATCTTCATAGTGCTGCATCTTAATCCCTTGTACCACCAGGAAGGCCCCTGGGGAGCACTTTAAAGTAAGTGAAACAATAAGAGAAAAACATAGGCCACATTAAAAATACTGTCACAATTTAAATGAGAAAAGATACTGGGAGAATATACATCAAAATATTCCTCTTGCTATCAGGGTAACAAGTAATTTGGATTTATTTGTGTACTTTTCAACTCAGCAAGTAGCATGTCTTATTTTTGCAGTTATTTAGATTGTTATATAATTTATTCAACAAAGAGATATTCAATGAATAGAAAATGGAGAGTGAAATTGAGAACCTGAATGGAAAGAAAGAGATCTTTTAAGCTTCAGGAAGGAAAAGTGGGGGTGGCAGTCGAACACACAGCATGAGATCTAACCATGACCCCTTGAGGCAATTGGGGAAGATCCCAGGGCCACCTTTCAACAGTGTGTGGAGAGCCCCATACCACGCCTCTCCTGTGGGTCTATCTAAATTGGCCACATCAGGACTATAGCGAGACCTTCCCTCAAGTCAACTCCTTCTGATTCTCCTTCCAATACACATACAGGAAAAGACACTCCACACACAAGAGGGAAGGGTTGGGACTAGGTGAGCCCCCATGAGAATTCCTCACCTTGTGTTTTTTCATGGCTTTTTGCAGATGACTCACTACATCTGTGTCCTGAACGCCCCGAGCCTTAAACTTCTTCGTCCAGGAAAGCAGGACACCCTGGGGGGAAAGTTCAGATCCAGTCAAATGAAGAAGACACTCAGCACTGAGAATGAAGACACTCAGCAGAAATGGCATGCTTAGAACGTATTGCTATTGGCCTTCTCTTTTCTAAGCAGAATCACTCCAGTCCTTTCGATATTTCTTCAGAGGCCATTTCTAATCATGTGAACATCTTTACTACTCTCATCTGAGCAGTTTAAAGCAGAAAAACTAATTGCTAAAGAGTTAGAACACTTGGATTCACAAGATGTTGGACAAATCATCTAACCTCTCATTTCAGCCTCACCTCATTCATCTGTTAAATGGAGATATCACTCCGCTGTCTTTGTTACAGGATTGCCTTGATGAGAATAACTGGCATGAAGTAGATACAAGTTATGTGTGCAGAATACAGTTTGTCCATAAAACAGAACTAACATGCTGTTACCTTGTAGGACACCCCCAGGAATTTAATTTCAACTTTAAAAAAGTGGTTTTCGACTTAAATTATCAATTATTTATTTTAAAATAGTATTTCCCAATAATTCCATGTCTGAAGTAACAAGCAATCAGAATTTTCTGGAGTGGAAGAGAACTGGGAGGTTGAAAGACTTGCCAAGGCCACACAGCCAAGATCATTTGAACCCAAATGCACGAATTCCCTGGCCACACCTCCCAAAACCCTTCAGTTCACAGAAAAAGATACAGATTTTAAAAGGAAGGAAATTCCCATGGTGTCACTGTGAGAAGATTGCCCCACGAGATGGCTGACCTCGGACTCCCCACAGGCCACCTGGTTCTCCCCCTGGACCACACTGCCACCTAGTGGCATATCCCTGTAACTTCGACCTTCACTGGCTATGGTTACATGCCTGCTTCACCTGATTGAGAGATTGCAGGGTGATAACCCACTCCTAAAAACGGTACATGAGGTCTGTCGGGGGAAGGGTCTTTATATAATGCTAACTAAAAACATATCAATATATAAAACTATTTTTTTAAAACTGCACATATATAGCTTAACATCAATCTTCAATATAGATATGACTAGAAGGGAAACCCAACAATTCTAGTTTGGGTATCTGTGAAGATTGAAGTTAAAATGATTTCTATTTTATTCTTTAAAACTTTCAAATCCTAACCTCTTTTCTCTCTTTTTTTTTCCTGTTTTGAAATATTACCACTTTATTGTCGAAATACACACAGACACAAAGAAATTTCTCTTTAGCTAAAACTTTTCTGTTCCCTCATTTAAATATAACAAAGTGACTTCCTGCTTTTATCCCCATGTCATAGCTTTGTCAATCATTTTTAATTTTACAAAGAAATCCCCGAGCCACATTTACTCTTCATGAAGGCTCTTCTTCCCACCTTCTTCTGCGCTTACATGACTGATTAGACCCATCCTTGTCTTAGTGTCACAAAGTCTATATCTATAGCAGAACCACGGATAAATAGCTATGCTGTACAAATCCACACTCAGAGATGATTTCTAAGGCATTTTCTTGTGGCTTAACTTTAGACTTCATTGAAAGGCTACTTGGAAGGAAATTTTATAAAATACGAGTAATTCAATTAGACTTTAATGAGAAAGGCTTTTTTCCCTTCCTTCCTTTATATTAACTCTTGATCATAATCCCCTGACTCCAGAAATCTCATTGTCCTCTTATGTGGCAACTTATTTATTTTCAAAGATTCACCAGAGATTGGGTTTGACTTCTCCCAGTTTACAAATGGAAAAACTGAAGCACACAAAGATGCATTGACTGACCCTCAGCTGGCCAGTGACACAGCTGAGACTGTGAGTCCTGGGTGCTATGTCTGCTCAACAACACTGTCATTCCAATGATCACACTTCAACCCTCCTCCTAAGGCCTCACTGTAATTTAGTAGATGAGATTCCTGAGTCTTCCCACCCTTATTCTACCTGCTAGTCAGTGGTTACAAGACCAGCAGCAGCATTACCTGGCAACCTGTTAGAAATGCAAATCTAGGGCCCTACTGATGAAGAAACTCCAGGTGGGGTCCAGAAAAGTACAGCTAACAAGCTCTCCTGGAGTTCCCTGGAGACACTGAGCTGAAGGTAAAAGCCATTCTGTTTCCCTTTGCCATGCCCATATTAATGTAAAATGAGGCAGTTGCATTAACAAGTTTTCTGTCTCATATTTCCACCTCATTGTTTAAAAAAAAAGAAAAAGACAAAAACAAGCAAGAAAACTCCTACTGATTCCCTCCTGTGCCCAGTCTGACTCCTACACATGCCCACTTTCTCCAGCCCCAAGCCCCAAATCCTGCACTGCTTCTCCCCTCCCCGACACTGACCTTACCTCTTCCAACTTAGTCTGTCTGCAAGGAAAAGAAAAAGTTAGGCCAAGGGGCAGCTTCTTATTTTCTAACCCTTTGTTCTTCATGAAATCTGCCAGACAGTCAGCCACGTAGTCAAACAGCTGCAGGAAAAAAGCAAGCACAGGACATTGGGCTAAGGCACGGTCACTCAAGCGTGATGCCAACGCCTCCCCCAACCCACGCAGGTCCCTGCCCAGGTACCTCCAAGCCATTCCCTCGGATAATTTCAGTGGGTGTCGGGTAGAACTGACTCTCCATCTGGACATTTGGTTTCCCCTCTTCAGAGACTTTCACCTTCAAGACTCGAAATTTGGATCCTCCAAGATCCAGGGAAAGAAATTCCCCATTTTCTATTAAAATAAACCAAATGTTGTGATTTACTGAGAGTCTACTGTATAGTGAGCTCTGCATTAGAAGTTGGACATAAACATAAATGAATACACAAAAATGTATTAATTCTCACAGCCACCCCACAGCTAGGTATCATTAGGCCGACTTGCTGAGGTTCGGAAAGTGAAGCCATAGATCTGAGCCCTCATATTAAGGGGAACAGCTGGGATGTGACCAAGTCTGTCTGACTCTGCAACATGAGCCCTTCCCACAAGGCTATGCTGTGGGGGAAAACATGTGTTCATCTGGAGAAATGTGATTTGACTTCAAGAAGGTGGATTAAATGGGCTTTTAGGGTGAAGCCAATTCTAACATGCCACACCTGGGAAGAGAAAGCGGATACTACAATGAGGAGTAACCGTATGAGGTGGGGGAGAGGTGGAGGGAGGGAATGCAGATACAGCATGAAGGAAAAGGGACAAGGCTAGGCAGGGAAGGGAAACCAGGCCCACACAAGTCTCAGTCTCCTGGCAGAGAGGAAATACTCTAGGAGGGAAGGGAGACAGGGACCAAATGATGGCCCTTAGGAGACAAGGATGCTCAATATTTTGGGCAAGAGTCACTCCAAAAGGAAGAAATGGAATACGACCCCACCCAGTTCAAGACTGATGCTATTGATAAAAAAGTAGAAATGACACATGTGTTGGGGTGAGGTAGCCCACCACTGAGGATCCTGGAGTCTACTCAAGGTCCAGCCAGAATTCCTGCCCAGGAGCCCTGTCAGTGTCTTCAGAGTCAGTCACAGATTGGGGTGGGGAACTCAGATTGAAACAATAATTCTTTGTATAGAATTATGTGTCTGGAAAATGACTGCATGACCAGGATTGCTTCATAATATATGCCCAAAACATATGTAAGTGAAATGCCATGCCCACAAATCCAGCACTCAAGTGGCCTTGTTTTGTGCATGTGACCCTAGACACAGGTGCTTGGATATAGGGTGCCAGGTTGACCATCCAGATTCCTTCCTGGTGAAATGTGAAATAAAACACAGTGGGAAGTTGCTAGTAGGTGGTAAAAATTGAAATGAAAGTGTCCCCCAAACCAGAGATCAGCTGGGTAGCCAAGGTGGCCACATGCATATAGTCCAAAGCCATACGGAAGAGAATTCTTGACTCCCAGGTCCCCAGCAGCCTGAGTGTGCCACAGTTCCTGCTCTCAGATTCCCATGAGCACCTGGAGGGCTCTTTTGGTCTATAAGTCCTCATACAACAAATCTCCTTTCCTGACCTGGCTATACTAAGTTTGTCTGTTCCTGGCAACCAAAGCGCTACAGTAAGGCCCCCATGACAGCATTGGTGTAGAGCAGTTCCCTCAAAATGTTTTCAATTATATTATTTTATTATTGAGGTAATGTCTGTTTACAACATTCTATATGATTTAAGGTTTATGGTTTATGGGCTCACACCTCTTCACATGTATGTTATGATACCTTCCTCCTACTCTAGCACCCATAATCCTCCTCCTGGTACACTGGGTCCTCAGTGCCCACCCTCCGCTTCTGATAATCCTGATTTCTAGAGTTTGTTTTAGTTTAGTTTTTTCTGTCCTTTGTTTTAATTCTTTATGTTCCTCATATGAGTGAAATCATCTAATATTTGTCTTTCTCCTTCCGACTTATCTCATTGAGCATAATCCCCTCCAGTTCCATCCATTTATTACAAATGGAAAGAGTTTATCTTTTTCTATAACTGAGTGGTGTTCCATTGTGCATATACCACATCTTTATTCATTGGGGCACTTGGGTTGTGTTTATGTGAAGCTCTGAGAATTCTCTTAATGTGCAAATTGTGATTCAGTGGAGGTGGGGCTGAGAGTTTGCATTTCTTTTTTTTTTTTTTAAAGATTTATTTATTTATTTATTTATTTATTTAATTATTTACTTATTTATTTATACAAGCACTGGGTACAGTCACAGGAGGGTGAGAGAATTCACCAGAGCCAGAGCGGGGAACAGAACAGTGACAAAGTACACTGCTGAGGGGAGCAGCGGGCGCAGCAGGAGAGGTCTGACACGCCATGTGGGACCCTCGCCTGGCAGTCAGGGATCAAACCAGCGCTGCAGAGGCTGCGGGCAGCTTCGCAGCCCAGCATTTAACCGCTGCTCCACAGGGGAGGCCCTGAGATTTTGCATTTCTAAATAAGCTCTGAGGAACTGCTCTTGTTGTGGGTCTGTGGACCACAGTTAGAGTTGCAAAGGTTTATAGAGCACTCATTTGCAGACCCAATTAGCTGCATCTTTTGTTTTTGTGGCAATAACTAGAAAGGGAGATTCTTATCTCCCCAGATCAACTCTGAAAAGAGCCTGATGAAGCTGTTTGTCATTGGGGGAGGGGGCCAGGGACCTAATTCTATGCAGTTTAGACTAGCACTCATCATGTATCAGGGTGCTTCCACATATGCTATCTTGTCACATAGGAAGTAAGGGTAGACCACATGATTCATGTAGGAACATTGGCTGAGTACCAGTTCTGTGCCAAGTAATTTGCCAGGCACAAGGAATACAAAAAAAAAAAAAAAAAAAAAGTGAGGCATCCCTGGAGAGTTCATCAGAACTAGACAAATAAATAAGGTATTTCCATCCAGTTGGACAAGCCCTCCAATCGTGGGGAGCACACCCATTGGGGCACCAAAATCAGAGCAGGAGTCAACACCCCAGAGGAGAAGATACAGACTTGAATACTGAAGGATGGGAAGGAGCCAGTGATCAGACAGCCAGGGTCCCAGGGAGAGGAAACCATGGGGGAAAAAAAAAATGTGGTGTGCGTGGGAGTCTGGCCTTTTGAGGAAGGGGGGAGTGTGACACAAGTGAGGCTGGCAGGTAGTCTCCCATTAATCAGGAAGAAGTCAGAAAGGCAGCCCCACCCCAAGGAGCTTAGGCTTTATCCAAAAGGTAGGGAGGAACCATTGAAAGATAATTTTAGCAACGAAGTGCAGAGATCTGATTGAGATTTTGGAAAAATACCTCTGACACTGACAAGGATGGATCGGAGGGTTTTAATAAAAAAGGAGGTTCCTGTTCAATAATCTAGATAGGAAGTGGCGCTGAGACCTGGCATAACATCTGGCAGCCAATGTCCCCCTCACTGCGTACTCAGGGACTTAAGACATGATTTCATGGAAACCACGTCACAATTTCCCTTCTATGACTGATCCCAGGAAAAGGATGGGCTAGACCACTGCAGGGAGGAAGAATGTGCCCAGAAGAGGGCAACAGAGGCAGTTATAAAGGCAACAGGGACTTTACAACAATAATAATATGGCCTCCCCAGAGGGTGAGTTCCTTGACAACCCCTGCTGTGGGTGACCTTCTGTGACCTTTCAGGGCTCCAGGAGGCCTTGGCCACTGGGCTTTCCTTCTCCTAAGCCACAGCCAGGCCTTGTCCCTCTGCTCCTTCTCCATTCCTCGTGCAGCTCCCCAGAGATGTACAATGACTGAATGTGCAGATTCCCTAAAATTCAAAATCTCTACATGTTTTTGGGATGGGGGGTGGCTGGGAAGCCATATGAATAGGAATTGCCCCAGGTGAATCTTATGCTCAGGCAAGTATAGCAACCCTGTCCTAGTGTCCACCCCTGGCCCATCAGTCAACTACCTCAGGGATCCCTGGGCTCAGCCCCAAGGCTCAACCTCCTGGGGCCCAGGAGTGTCTGGAGACAAAGGCCAAGAAGGGAGGCAGCTGGGCAGGGCCCTCACAATCACAAGACACCGTTTCCTATGTCCTTCCCTCAGGACTAGTAGAGAAGACACAATACCTTTAAGGTAACTTGTAAGAATAATATGTGGTAGCTCCTGTCTGGAAGACTGGAGGCAATTACAGTTCAAACACATTACCCCCTCTCAGCTAGGTCCCCACAAGAGGGGAATTTATAGACAGTAGGCAAACTCAGATGGAGTTCTCTGAAAATTGCATGCATTGGTAATGGAGGCCCCAAGAAATTAAGAGAGCTTTGTTTGGTTTTATTAGTAATCATGAAATTATACCACCAGCTCACAGGAGCAAGGGGTGACTTGAAACATTTCAGAGATGTTAAAGCATTCCTACTGCATGACCTCACTTCATCCTAATAAGCCCGCAAGTTGGTGGGACACACTGGTCAAAGTTCTTTCATCTATGAGGACAGTGAAAGGAGTGCTGTGTTCCTGGGACTGCCCAAGGCCACCTGACTCTATAGGGACACTGGGCCCAAGAAGCTTACTGAAACAACACTACTGGTGAGATTTGTTATGTGATGAGAGGTTCTGAGAAGACAGTGGAGAAAGGAGATGTCGTCTCCTGGCCTGAGGAGGAGTTTCAATTTCACTTCCAAACCTTCCTGAAGCAGCCAGGGGGAGAAAGGCACACCTGGCCTGGCAGCCTCCAGACTATCAAAGACTACTTCCTCTTGTCTCTGGGGACACACCTTTGCAGGAGAAGCAGCAGAAGGAGCCAAGAGGACTTTGTCCTGATTGCCCTGATAGACACTTCCATACCCCATGAGTCAGGCATTTCCTGTGAATGGCCCCAGATGACCCATCAAGGACGACTCACCACTCTCATGGAGCAGTGTTAGGAACTGGGCAGGGGTTTCAAAGCAGGACTGTCTCTCTCCAAAGCCTATGCCAGGGTGGTACACTGTCCACCCGAGTACCCACCTACCAGTGAAGGAACAAGCCTTTCCCATCACAGTTGCCAGGGCCTCTCAAAGGGCAGAGCCAAGCTCCTCTAACCTAGGCATTGTCCTAGAGGGACCTAGAACACAGCTAATCCAATAAAAACTCCCCTGAGAGCTCCCCAGATTTCAGTTACTGCTCCTTCAATAGTTCCAAATCCTCTATTAGAATTTGGTTGGAGTACCACGAGCCTGACATTGGGGAAGTCACTTGGTTCTCAGTAATCTCTGACATGATGATAAGTTATACCACAGGGTTCTTAAAGGGGTTGTGTGAGACAGTGAGTACCTAGCACCCCATGACTGATATGTACCAGTTCCTTTCTCTCCCATAAGACTAGGAATGGAGGAAATAGATGAAACCTCATAGATTCCCTCTAGGCAATGGGAAACAAAATACCCACTCCCCAAGATGTCCACATGCCAAGCTCCAGATTCTGTGAGTTAGGTTGCATGGCAGGGGGACTGAATGAAGGTTATAGACTAAATAAAAATTGCCTATCAGCTGATCCTGGGTTGGGAAATTACCCTGCATTATAAATTTATAAATTCATATAAATTATAAATTGTATTAATATTATAAATTTATATAAATAAAGTTGTGGGTTTTTTGGTTTTTTTTTTTTAAAGTGGAGTTTCAGGATTTTTTTTTTAAAGATTTATTTATTTATTTATTTATTTATTTATGCAAGCACTGGGTACAGTCAGAAATGCGGGAGGGTGAGAGAATTCACCAGAGGCAGAGCGGGGAGCAGAGCAGGCAGAAGGACCGAAGTACACTGCTGAGGAGAGCAGCGGGTGGCAGGAGAGGTCTGCGCGCCATGTGGGACCCTCCTCCAGTGGCCGGGGAGTGGCTGCAGAGCAGCTGGGGAGCAGCCGGGGAGCAGCCGGGGATCGAACCGGCACTGCAGAAGCTGCGGGCAGCTTCGCAACCCAGTGCTCAACCACTGCGCCACCGGGGAGGCCCAAGTTGTGTTGTTTTAAGCTGATAAGTCTATAGGAGCTTTCAATAGCAGCTATAGAAAACTAATATATATGTCAATTCATTTTCCAGATGGAGAAACTAAGGCAAAGCATTTGGCAAGGTCACTGAGGAATGACAGAGCTGGGCCTAGAGCCCAGGTTTCTTGAGTTATTTAATATTCCTTCCATTCCATCATGCTTCTTTTCATTATTTACTATCTGTAGTCTAGAATCTGGATACCTATAAGCAAAATACCAGGTATTATTCAACAAATACTTTATGGCCTAGTATGTTTCAGGCACTATGCCAGATACAAGAACACTGGAGAAGACACAGACCCTCCCTCATGGGGTGCTGATCCCATGGAGAGGCTCTCCTGCCCAGCAGTGATACAAACACTGGCAAGCACCTAACCCAGCATGGGCATATTTCCCAGATGAAGACAGTGAGACAGAGAGCAAGTTGATGCTCCCCAGGGAAAGAATGTTGGAATGTTCCAGCAGGAAATGGAATAGAGTGTGTGAGGCCAAGGCAGGCAGAGAGAAAGGAGGTATTTGTCCATGAACAATGGTTCAAAAATTTTGGTGTTGAGTATGACTGAAATACTGTCAGGAAAGTTGGGAGGGGGTACATAAAGAGAGAGGGCTGGAGAGAGAAACCAGGGTACAGAGCAAACTTCAGTCTTCCATTAGCTAAAAAGGAACTTAGGAGATCAGGATCCTTGGCACCCCCTAGCCTCACTCACCTGAGCCATCTGGAATGGCTCGGACAAAGCTGGGCAGCATCTTCACTGAAGCTGTGGGGTTGGTGTCCTTCCTCAGGCCCTTCTTCATTTCAGCCTGGAACCGGGCCATAATGTCCAGCAGGGTCTCATCCGAGAGCCGCATATGGTACAGGAACCTGTCGACCTGGAACAAACACCGGGGTGACCATGGTTGGCTGCACTTGCACTCCAGTCAAGTCTATAAATTTCCACAAAGCTGCATTTCTGACCAAGTAGACAGCTTTGTGATGTGGATGCCCAAAAGTCCCTTGCCTGACTCTTCATCTAGCTGGGGACAAGGCAAGGTGTTGGAAGAACAAAATGGAATAGAAGATTGGGGAGGTGAGGATTTATTTCTCTAAAGGGCAAACTCTGAGAAATAATTCCCCGCTTTTCCTCATGGGACAATGGAGAGACAAGAACTAAGAAGGATTCAGAAATTGTAATTCCCCATTCAGGATCTCTCCACTGGAGACAAGCTATAGCTTGAAACTTCAATTCCCAAACATGGAAACTTTCTGTTGTCCAATGATGACTATACAGCTAAATGTTTCCCTTTGTTTATTGGCTGTTAGGAAGCTGAAAGCTAAAATCCTGTTACCCATTGCAATCGCTAAAATCTAGTCCTTTAAATTTTCATTGTGTTTTAACTGACATTGTTCTAATTAAGATGACATTTAATTTGAAAGTCAGTTAAATTTGCTATTGGAAATGAGTGGCCATCACTCAACTTACCAGGAAATCGGGACATAGGACCCCTGGCCCAGTGCGTGTGTGTGTGTGTGTGTGTGTGTGTGGTGGGGGGGGGAGGTGAGGGAGAGGGGTAAAAAGTTATAAAAGTCACTATAACTGTACTCAGCCTATTTGAAGGTAATATGTCACATCAGGAATAGCAGAAAAGCTTTCTTCCCCAAGTTAATGTCAATCAGTGGTGGAGCCTGGATTTCCAGAGCTCACTGGGATGGATTATCTATGGAGTAGGAGGGCTAGAAGCAAAGGCACCTTGAATCTAACCCCCCACACACATACTTTTACACTAAGTGGCTTCTCTGCCATCCAGGTCAAAGGAGAATTGATCCTGGCCTGTTCCAGGAGGAAGTGCTCTCCCACTCTTTTATCTAAGGCTAAGAACATGCACTGCAATCTCTGAAAGGCTTTCATGTGTGTCACCTCACCTTCGCTCCATAAATTCCCTTGAGGCAACCAGGTAAGACCAAAATTACTATCTCTAATTGAGAGATGAGGGATCCAATGCTCAAGGTGATTCAGCAGCTTTAGAAGAGCCATTGGTAAAAGGCAACACTGACACTACAATGCAGACTCCACACTCTTTGGCCCAAAACCTGGTTTGGTTCACAGCTTTGTGTGGGATCCATAAGTCCAACACATTACACCCAAAGTGCAGATGACACATGATCTTTATGATAGGACAGGTTCCCAGCCCTCAGCCAGGGCTAAAGGGCAGGGTTCCCAGCTCAACCTTGGACTGATACAAAAACAGTGAAATAGCCTAAGGCTGCAAGGATTTGGGGGGCCAGCGAGAGGCCAGAAAACCATTACAGAGCCATTAACAAATAAGGACAATTGGGCTTTCAGCATATTTGAAAAGATAAGATGTAACCAGGTCATGCTTCATCCTGAGTCTATTTATGACTAATTGGTTGGCACAGCCACCCATGCCTTGAGAAAAGCAATAGAAGGGATGTGATCCAAGTAATTGGGACTTGGGTAAGGGGTGAGCTATACTACACAGCTATACTACTCAGTCATCTCAAAGCCCCTCAAACAATACCCCTGAATTTATTGCTCATTTTCGCTCAGCCTGAGAGTATAAAGAGTTTCTCTGGGCGTCCCCCTAGTGTCATCCCTTCTATGTAAGTAATGGTTTGAGGCCCCACTGGGGTCATCAGGAGCTGCAGTTTAGAACTTTGGATGACTGCTACTGCTATTTCACTGAATTGAAGTGATGACAAAGAACGTCAACTTAGCAACAATGTCTTGTTTTCTTTGTATCTTCCACAGCACCTGGTACAGTAGCTAGAAAGGAAGAAAAATGTATTGAGATGGGAAAGATAGTTTAAATCCAGGCAATCTGGGGCCTGTGTAACCAGGCACACATGTTGTAGGCTCTAAACAAAGGTAAATGAGGGCACTTGATTTGCAAAAACTCAAGCCCATTTTTGGAGTGACAACTCATAACATGGTTATCTTCTCAACCCAAAAAGAGCCAACAAGCTGCACATTTAATTCAGAAAGAGAAAAGTAAAAAAATATAAGCTCAGAGCTGGTGAATCACAGAATGTGGGAGGTGGAAGGGACTTTGGAAATCACTGGTCCAAAGGTTCCCTATGACTTCAGAGTCATAAAAAGGTTCAACTCCTTGACCTAGTCATTTCATTTCAGGGAATCTGTCTTTGGGAAATAATCCCAAAGATGGAGAACATTAAATACATATCAGTATCTCTATCTTGCAATCTTATTACTTATTGCATAATTTTTTTATTGAGATATTAGCACACAACACTGTATATGATTTAGAGGGGGAGAGGGTCACCCCTCTTCCAATATATGTTACCACACCATTATAGCAGTATCTTCATTGTTAAAAAATGTTTCTGAATGTAGCAAATGTCCAACAAGAGGGCAAAGGTTCGATTTTAGCATATCCAATTTGATTGAAAAGTAGAAAGACATTAAAATGATAATTACAGGAATGATAGAGAAATGTGGCTTCAATATAACTATAAGTGAAGGACACAAGATCAGAGTTGTATGTATAATTGTAAAAGCATACATCATTTTAAAAAAAAAGGCTACAAGGGTTTCCACACAGCAAATACAGTGTTTGTGAGAAGGGAAGGATGAAAGGTAACATTTCCACTTTTTGTAATGTTGACTCACCAAACTGTAAAAGGTACACATTGAAAATCTAACCAGACCTTCTCTTATGAGAACAATCTGCAGGTCACTGACCAGCCCAGTGCAATGTTATCAATAGGTCAAATAATGTCAATATATTGAATTGGAAGAGAAGCTGTCAGAGAGGTTTCCTTTCCTAATTCCTTTTCTTTTTTTTTTTTTGTTTTTGTTTTAATGTTGGTATGGAGAGATTTTCCAAAATTGTTTCAGAGTCTTGAATAGTAACCTTCAAAGTATGTAGCCCAGGATCCTAACAGCTGTAGAGGCAGGAAGCATAGAAACTGAGAACTGGCTGCCTGACCCTGGAGAGAGGAGCCTATGCCTTTGACCATGTGGAGGAGTGACTGAGCTAGTGTTCTCAGAATCTGTGACTCACCCAGCAACCCATAAACTGGCCTCCATACACTTCCTGCCACCTGTTAGTGACACCTCTCCCTAACGTAGCTACAAAGTGCTTCTGACTATATCTGTTCCACTCACTCTCTGATGTTTTCTTACCTACTATAGAGAGAGGGAAGAGCCAACTCTAGGCTTTCACAAAGGCTACCTTGGAAGCAGAAGTATCTGGAACAGATCGATAAAGGATGCATTTCAAGTCAAAGGGGCCTCCTGAGTTTGCATCTGGGCTGATGGACAAACATGCCTACTCTGGCTGTAGAGTATAACAAAAGGTTAACCACCACAGAGACCAAAGGAAATAAAACTAATTTGCAGAACCAAAGATGTGAAGGTTCCAAAGTGCTTCCCTTGGGGTTTAGAGAAACACCATGCAGGTAGCAACTTTAATGAGTAGGTAGTATTAGGAAGTGAATTCCTACATAGTGCTGTATAGGACTTTTCTACCTCCTTGTCAAGTGAATAGAGGGGTCTGTGAATCTAATCAACAAGTGAAAATTAGCACAGGTTAAATCTCCTTGAATTACAGTGTTTTAATATTTGTTATAACCTCTGACTCAACTATAATGGACAAAATTTAGTGTAATTTTATCCCAGCCAACCCCTGAGGGCTGTAAGGGACCAGGCTTTTCTCTGTTTACAAAGCCAAGAGGCATAGTGGCTCTATCAATGCTGGAGGAATCAGTGACTTCAATTTCATCCTCCAGTCACCTTAAAACCTGGGTGGCCTTGGCTAAGTGAGCCTGCTGGGAGGACTTCTGTTATCTATAAATTGAGAGATGCTGTGAACACAGCCACAGCTGGGGTCATACCAGTATGCAGAAAAGAATGCTTATGGTCCCTAGTTGAACCTTGATATCTCTTCATTTGCCCACTCTGGAATGAATTTTATTGATGGGTTTCTTGGGCAAAGTGGAAAAATAATGAACACCACACTCTTGGCAAGAAGTACATGCTAACAGTAAGTATTTCAATTATTGCACATTAAAGCTCACATTCCTTGTGGTGTCTATATTCTTTCAAACACATTAAGAATCATGCAAATTACTTTAGAGTTCTCAACATTTCTTTCAAAATGACTCTTTTCCTTTGTAGTCCCCCCCCACCCCGCAAATGTCCCTTACAACAAACACAACTGTCTTCCAGATTTCTAGAGTTTCTCTTCATCCCCTTCCCATGCCAAATCTATCAGAAGTTCTGAGTAAATCAAAACTCAGGATAATATGCAATACCCAGCCTCTGAGTGTTTTTACTGGTTCTTTGCTCCCTGTATCTTTACTAATGAGTTCTCTTAAATTCTTTCAGAAGTAGGAAGGTATCAGTTCTGTCAGTGAAGAATGAATTAGGCATCTCTGAAGCTTTGTGAGTCCTTACCTTCTTGAGCTGATCCTCCTTCAGCTTGGCAAAATAAAATGCTCCCAAGTGTACAGCAAACATTTTCTCCAAGTTCGGCTTCTTCTGAGCTGGTCAGAGATTCCTGAACAGTGTTTCCTCACGTCTCTGAGTACTGCCCACTTCCACTTGAGGCTGGAGACCTCCCGGAAAGTAGGTGCTACAGATAAAATACTTTCAGCTTGTTTAGTTCAATGATTAAACTTTGTCCCCTGTCTTTGGTCCCTCCCTCCAGCACACAATTGTTTAATAGGAGTTTCTGGATGGTGGCTCGGGGTTGGTGGAGAAGGAGACAGGAAATTGATGGGTTGCTTGACTCTTTGAGAACTGGGTGCCACAAAATCTCATTGCTAAGTGACACCCTTAAGCAGAGGGTCTACCAAACCTAACTCAGGCAAGGAAAATCTTCTGAGAAGTTTGAATTAAACAAAGCCAACTTAATTAACAAAGCCAACAAAGCCAGCTGCACTGTTTTGTAGATGTCCAGCCTCTGGCTTTTCTTTTTAGTTCTTTTCTCTCCAACACAGTGATATAACTCCATGACTCCCTGCTCCTTTGTAGCACTGTCTTAATTAAGAATAAATATTGCCTGCTCAGGAACATTCCAAGAATGTTGGAGCAAATCCCTCAATTTGTCACAGACCAGGTCGCCAAGCTAAATGCCTAAGACAATGGAAAGTAATCACAACTGTAAGCTGGAAGACCTTGATTTCATAGGTAATGATCTAGGGAAAAAAAAATGCATGAGAAAGAATGAGCTAAGGTCACTAATATTCACTGGGAAACTGCTGGAGAGTACTGTGGTGGTGGGCATAGCGTAGTGATATACGTCTGAAGAGATGTTAACCCATACCTCTAAATCCTAAACAGCTTTGTAAAGCAATGTTACTTTGAAATAAAAAAATTAAACTGATGGGAAATACTTCCTGCCACTAGGTTATGTGGTTTGCTCATTTATCTCACTCATCATATTTGATGTGAGAAGGATCCCAAAATGGGCTAATGATGGGTGCAATAGACCTCATATTCTTCCTACAGTCATTGATCAGCCAATGAAATCAATAACAATGATGTTAACAGCAGCTAACATGGATGGAGCACTTACTATTCCCATTTTATAGATAAGAAAACTGAGGCCCTGAAAGGTTATATTACTTACTCAAAATCACAAAATTTGTAAATGATACAGTGAGGACCAAACCCAAGAGTTCAATTACAGAGCTTAGCTCTTAATCAATACATAATATTGCCTCCATGCCATAGATACTCAACTGATAAATATTAATATCAGTATTCTGTTGGATTGTCAAGAATTTAACTACTTGAAAAGCTAAACATAGATGTATCACTTCAATAGGGTCTTCCCATTGGAGGAAAAAGGTAAATGAAGAAATTCTTGACTCTAATTTCTGAAATATTTCCTAAAATTAGCAATCAACCAGATGTTAGTGAAGGTTGCCTTGGCACCCCATTACTTCTTGCTCCTAAAGGGCAGCTGCTCTTCAATACAAGGGGGGGAAATGTGCTTTCCTGGTCAGTTTAGCAGCCTCAGCTTTGCTTTTCTACCATACAATATCATTAATCAAAATTGATTACCAGTTAATAACCTGGTAAGAGCTGCCTCTTCAGGAGTCACTAATTGTCCAATTAGTACTCTTCATTGGAAGTCTAGCTTAAGCCTACAGTACGTAATTAAAATTACTCCAGTTATTTTTCTCAAATTGATATAAAACTGTCTCCCAGATTGAAAAACTTTCCTTTTAGTCCTTTACCCCTCAGACTATGAACTCTGTTTTTGCTCCTTTACTTTGTCTATTATACAAGCAAACAAAGGATAACCTTCAGTTATTGAAACTATTCAGTTCCCCAAACCATGTGGGGGAAGGATCCCTTCTTAAAACTGGTATTTTATCTCATCACATTTGGTCCTTTAGGATAAGAAAATGAATGTACAACATTCAGTAAAACAACTGTAAACATTGAGATGACCCCAGATCTACTGAAATTATAAAAAAAAAAATTGTATAATAGCCTATTCCTGTAACTAAAGAAAATAATCCTGAATTCTACCCTGTATTCTCCATGTTAAGTTCAAAATTTTGTTGTCCATACATAAATCAGTCTGATCTGCTGGTATTCCACTTGCTCCAAAATATGAAAGAGTGTGTGAGAGAATTAATATTGATATAAATAAAAAACTTTATTGAATCTGTAGAGAATTTTTTAAGATTTATTTCTATTTATTTATACATACAAGAACTGAGGTATAGGTCAGAGGTATGGAGCAGAATGGTGGTGGTGGTGGTGAGAGGATTCACCAGAGACAGGGTGAGGAGGAACGGGTGAGACAGGAGAGGTCTGCTTCGCCATGTGGGTTAACGCCCCTAGCTAGGGATTGAACTTACGCTGCAGTGGCTGGAGATAGCTTGATAGTGCTGAGACTTAACCTCTTGCACCCCCAGGGAGGCCCCTGCAGAGAATTTCTTAATAAAACCTTCTGGGAATGATTTAAAGGTATACTCTGACATTTCCCACTATATTTCATTTTGATAGTATTAATCATTTATATTTCCCAGTTATATTTGAAAGCATTCTTAGCTTACAGCAGTTTAAATTCAACAAATAAATTCACTGACTCAAAAAATACTGTATTAGGATTGTCTGTAATTGAGGTAAAGATAATACACACATACATTGTAAACTTTGCCATAAAAATACAAGATATAATGTACTAAATTGATAAGAACACCATTAGCCTAGGAAAACAAGCAAGTTAAGTTCAGGTTTTAAGATTATGGCAAGATTTAGAATTAAAAGAATATGTAAAAATACATGAGTTTTTAAAAACTTTGTTTTTGTGTATAAGAACTGGGGTGCAGGCCAGAAGTACAAGGGAAAGAGGATTCACCAGCGACAGAATGGGAAGCAGAACAGGTGGATTTACTGAAATACACTGCCAAGAGGAGAGTGGGCAAGATAGGAGAGGTCTGCTGCACAATATATGGGTTAGCTCCCTGGCCTGGGATCAAACTCAGGTCATGGCGATGATAGCGCTGAGACTTAACACCCTAGGCCACCAGGGAGCCTGAATTTTGAAGATTAAATCATGGGAGGTTTTCTTCCATCATCTCCAAGAGACTCGGATTCTAACAGCTAAAAGTCTCCAAGCACTGAAAGCTTCTACTGTGTAAGAACTCTGGGTGTCAACCAGTAGAATGTCAACATTCTCACAAGTGGCAATACATCGCTACCTTCTTCCTCCCTCAACCATACTCACCTTTAGTCTTATGAATTCTGTGATACCCATTCTTTTCAAACATGTAACTGAATCTCTTCTCAGATGCGGAGATTACATTTTTTGTTACCCCTCATACTTTCAAAATGAAAAGAGAAACCATCAAATAATAAAGAGCTCTAAGATAATAAAACTATGAAAAAAAAGAGTTCGGGGATTTCAAAGACAAAGTTGGAGAAATTGCCTAGAAAATTGTAAAAAGTCATGAGTATAATTTCTAACCACTGATTTAACAAGAGGACATGAGCGTAAGTTATTATATCAAAGGAAACAGTTATTATATCAAGGAAAATGAAGGATTTAAGAAAGTTAATTTCTTACCTGATATAACAGGAATTAGTAGCTAATATCTTGAAATGATGACTCAGAAGACACGATATATATTAGGTAGTCAATGAGGTAAATACTAGAAGAAATAAATTTAAATACAGTTGAAAGTGCTTGTTTCTGGTTTTTAAAGCTATGTGTATACTCCTTTTGTATGGATGAAGAGAAAGTTGTTACTTCTACCTTGTTTTCAATTTATATTACACATTCATTAATATGTAGGGGGAATTTTATAAATAGAAAGGAACCAACATGCATTTATCAGTCTTTTTTTTTTTTTTAAAGATTTATTTATTTATACAAGCACTGGGTACAGTCAGAAGCGCAGGAGGGTGAGAGAACTCACCAGAGCCAGAGCGGGGAGGAGAACAGCCAGCCAGACAGAGGACACTGCTGAGGGGAGCAGCAAGCTCGACAGGAGAGGTCTGTGTGCCATGTGGGACCCTCGCCCGGAGGCCAGGAATCGAACCAGTGCTGCAGAGGCTGCGGGCAGCTTCGCAGCCCAGCGCTCAACCACTGCGCCACCAGAGAGGCCCCATTTATCAGTCTTAAAGGGATAATGAGTGATAAATATGTTAAGAAGATGAAAATACAGCTGTTGAAAGAAAATAATGCAATCTATGATCAGAAACTTCAGGATGACAAGCATTTGAGAAATTTTTCCATCAGGGGATCATACATTTTACAGGTGTGTCAAATGGCAGTTCAAGCCTTTCCCAACTCTCTTTAGGCACAAGGGCATGGAATGGGTAGGGAGCACATTCAAATCTAGTGGCAGGGTCTCAGAATATAATGTTAAAGAACCAGATTCAAAATTACCTCCTCTAGCCAAATTTGCCAAAGTAGTTTCTTAAGTTCAGTCTTCAAAGCCCAATCATATTCCCAAATATTTTTTTTTCCTCTAGTGCTGTGCATAAAAACAACTTCCATTTATCACCTTTATGTGGCATAGTCCTACCATGTTAAGTGACAGGCTTTTAGATTGTGACAACACAGAAGCATGTTTATAAACATTGCTCTGAATTTACATATTTTATAGCTTTGAAACAGAAAAGAGAAATAAATAGCCTGAATCATTTATCCATTTGCCCGTCTCTTAGCAAACCACAAGTCTTCATCACCTCCCAATTGGTTTCTTTTGAATTTGACATACATAGAATTACTGCATCAGAATTGGATTCCCAATTCTAAGTTGTAAGATTTTTGGTGCTTTGTGATGATAGCTTGTCTGAGTTGCTTGTATGAGATGACAGTATGTTTCTCATTTACAGTAAGTCATTTTCATAAGATCCATTTCTGTTTTATAGACTTACTCATCCACAAAAACAATGTACAAAGTATTGCACGTCATGTTATTTTTCCTAAGCAGTACTTACTAAATTTTATTAAATTACCCAGATCCGTACTGATGGAACTGAGCAGCATCCAAGCTTCAGTCCATGCCCCATGTGATGTTCAGCTGAGTCCACAATAATCCATGGAAGACTTTTCAGAAAGTTCTTAGAAACCTGCTAGAAAACTGGAAATTTTAAGAAATAATAGTTTTGAAACTTAACTGTCTAGAAGCCCACAATGAAAGACAAGTGATCTATCAAGCTTATTAAAGAAAAGGAAAACAAGGCTGCTTTCATGGTGACAATTTTAAGTACACTGCAGAGAATTCTTCATGGCCACTCTATTTTTTTCCAGTTTCACCTGATTTCATCTTTCTTAGAAAGACAGCATCAGTCTCTTCTGCCTAACCAAAGCTCTCCCTCCCCAACAAAGAAGAGAAAGGTGAAAGGGTAAACTCACTATTTAAAATATTCTTTAGCTCAATGCCCACTGACTTTGCCTAAATCTGCAAGTATCTTGCCTATCTTCTCTGAGTTACCAACTCTGACCCCAAACTGGACAAAGTGAGAGAATTAAAAACACTCTAGATGATATATCGTATCATTTAAGCACACAAAGACCAAATCCAATATCGAGTTCATTTCATGAATATGTCTTGAGACCATATGAGCAAGAACTGGACTATGTCTGCTGTGGTATAAGTTACAGAGAAAGCAAATTCTGAAAGCAGGATGTCCAAATGCAAAACATGCATTATTTTAAAATGCCCTTCACTAGTTTACCCATAACCAAGAGTAATCAAGTCAGTGCCACCTGTACGTCCTTAATTCCATGAAGGCAAAGGTTAAAAGAATAAAGATTGCCATCTCAATTAAATATCTTTTGAACTCTGAACTACTGAAGGCAGAGATTACTAGCTCAGTAAATCTGGCTGTTCTTTGACCCAATTTCAACCAAACCAGGTTTATCCCTAGTCTGATGTCAGCCTCAATTTAGCAGTTGCTCAAGAAATTAGTACAATTCTCAGAATGACTTATCAGTTCAATTCATAGCCCACCATGAACCCATACCTTCAGGCTCATTTATAAGACACTTTATAAAAACAACTCTTATGCCAAATGACACATAAACTTAACACAACACAAGCAGGCATTACTGTCCACCTTCTTCAGGTGTAGAGGCCAAGCTCCAAAGAGGGCAAGGTCAACTGAGCTGGTAGTGACAAAAGCTGAATCCAGATCTGCCCAACACCAAGGGCTATGCCCTAAACTCCTTTTAGCTATGTCTCTAACCATGGTTAAAAGCTAAGTTGGACAAAAAGAGACCACTATTCATTACACTGGTCTTTGGACACAGGACAACCACTCACTCTACCACTCACTGCTACCACCAGTCACTCTCCTCCTTTATTCTACTTCTAGTATTTACCTCTGAAATTATATCCACTCATTTCACAAGACTGTGTTTCTACTATATTCCACTGTAGATGATAGCAGTGAACTAGATCAATAATCCCTATCCTCACAGAGTAGACATTATTTGTTAACTTGTTCCTATCTGTCTCCATATCAAACAGTAATCTCTCTGAGGCAGGAGCATTACCTGTCTTGCTTACTGCATATTTCCCGCACCTATAATAGCCTCTGGTACCTGGGTACAATAGACAGCAATGTTTGCCAAAGACTCCATCCATGATATCATCAGCAATGGTGTAGGAAAAAGGTCAAACAACTCACTAAACTGATTGTATTCCCCTGCAGAAATCCTTACAGTCCATTGTCTTTGTGCCATCTACAAAAGGTCATTGTATGAAATTTAAAAAAAAAAAAAAACCTTTATGACATTCTGCATTTTTAAAACATTGAAACATTTCAGTCATCTTTAAGAGTTAATTTTTCTGGGGTAAAGAAAATCAGTAAAAGATAGCCACAACACTACTACAGCAGACAATAAATGCATATGAGAAAAAGAGATTTTTTAAAACAGATGTTTATTTGCAAAAATAAAAACAAAACTAATCTGAATCTGGTTCCTTCTTCTTTCTTCTGGCTCCTTTTAAGTAAGTCTGAGATTCTGTTCTTTCTTTGCCATGCTCAGTTCGTTGTGTCATCCACTCTTTTTCTAGCTGTCTCAGCATGTCTGCTGTGAGGAGTCCTTGCTGTACCAATCTGGAAGCAAGGGTTTTCTCTCTTGCATCTGGGTGGGGTGGCTCAGCAACTTTATTCCCCAACATTTTGGTGCCACGTATCCTTCTAGCTTGGCCCCTTAATGTTCCTGACAAACGTGACTGGTTCTCTGCTGACAAGTTCTCCAAATGCAACATCTTACGTGACTCTGAAATTTTAATCAGTTTGGTGATGTTGTGTACACCTTCCTGGATAATGCCATCTAGCTCTTTCTGGAGGTCTCGAATAAGGCTGGCATCTGGAAACATATCTATAAACCGGTAGCTGGGGAAATGACATATTATGTTATAGCAACAGCTTTTATTTAAAAAAAAAAAAAAAAAAGACTAGTTGTTGGACTAGTCTCAATTACCTAACTACACCTTGACTAATTCCAAATGTTATTTTGGTAAATACTGTCCGATGCATTGTTCAACCTTTATATCTATTCCAAATCGTCATTATGAGGGTAGCTCATCCTTTTTATCTAAAATGATTCCAGTATGTCCCCCTAATGGGACATGCCACTCCTTTGAGAACCAATGATAAAGAGCAGTACCTCTCAAATGGTAATGTACAAATGAATCAGTTAGGGATAGTGTAAAAATGAAGAATTTGGCTAAGTCTCGCTTAAGTCAGATATTCTGCATTTCTAACAAGCTCGTAGGTGTTACCAATGCTTTTGCTGCAGGTTTTTTCCCCTTTGAGTAGTAAAGATCTTGAGCACCTTCTCACCTATCTTAACTAGGATCATAAAAACTCCCTTAGCCATTTTGGAATGCCATTTTCAGAAAGATTCAACTGTCTTTATAGGCAATAAACATAATGCAGTATACCCAGCAAAAGACCATTCATAAAACCTCTGATTTGCCCTAATACTACTCAGAAATAATGAAAGCGTACAAATGAAAAACTTGGTACCTTAACCACAAGTAAAGATCCAAGACATCATGGATAGCTTCAAGATCGATGAGATCTTTAATATTCTTAGGTGGAAGTAATGGCCACTTAATATATCGGCGTAACCATGCAAAGGTCAGGGGCTCATTTCTGCTGAACTGCCTGGCAAACTGAGAGAAACAGAAGAAAAAAGTTTGATAAAAGAATTATTGTTCATATAAGCCTATGATTAGGGAAAAAAGAAAGCACAACAAAATGTTAACTGAGATTGATAGGCAGACTAGTTTCCTTTCTTCTCTATACTTGTTAAGGGGGGAAAAAGGCAAGATGCACAGGAATTCATTATAACATTTATGATAAAACATAACCAAACTAGAATATGTACATGTACACATACATGTATGTAGGCAGATGCAACTATAAATGTCTGCCAGGATACACACAAACTGATAATAGTAGATACATCAGAGGGCTAAGGCTGGGTGTGGTAGTCCAAACTATCGATCTGTTATGTTTTAAATTTGTGCAAAGAGAAAAGTATGTGTTATTTATGCAATTTAAAAATATGTAAAAAATAAATTTAGAAATAAATTCTATAAAAACACTTAATTAGTACGCTAAGAGCTATAGAGGAGATGGCAACAAAACTACAAGTCAGGAAAAGAATCAAAAATGAGGGGCCCGGGCCTCCCCTGGTGGCGCAGCGGTTGAGCGCTGGGATGCAAAGCTGCCCGCAGCCTCTGCAGCGCCAGTTCGATCCCCGGCCACCGGGTGAGGGTCCCACATGGCACGCAGACCTCTTCTGCCACACTCGCTGCTCCCCTCAGCAGTGTATTTCATCGGTCTGCCTGTTCTTTACCCCGCTCTGGCTCTGGTGAATTCTCTCATCCTCCCGCGCTTCTGACTGTACCCAGTGCTTGTACAAATAAATAAATAAATCTTAAAAAAAAAAAAAATGAGGGGACCTTTGGAGCTTGTGAGGTGGGGATGACATTCCAAACAGAAGCAACTGAACACACAAGGGCACAGAAAGGTGGAGGACACAGCAGGGGTCTGGAAAGTCAGCTTCTACTGCCCTTTCCTGGTTCCCTGGTTTGGGTGAATCTTTTGTTCTCAGAAGACAGAGATTTATATCCCTACCAAATGAGTTAAAACAGGCTGGAACTTTGACACCATAATCATATCCCTGGTTCAGTGACTAACAGTTAAGAATACAGAATACTATTGCTACCACTAAGTCCTAATCCCTTTCTTTCTAAAAATTATTACCCAACACTAATAAGGATATCATCAAGCAAAGACCCCCTTTTCCTTGAAAAAATAAATTTTCACTTTAGCATTTTCACAATGACTATCAAATACAAAACAAGGATTTCACTTGCTCAAAAAATTATCTGTAAGAGAGACACATTTTGTATTTAAGTGCTTACATTATATCTCATATTTAAAAAGGGTACTCTCTCATTGATTTATTTTGAATAACAAAGTATTGTTTGGGGAAAATGCATCAACCAGAAATAACTCAAAATACCTTAAAGAAAAGGTTTACCTGTAACAATGAAGAGCAGACAAAAGGCTGCTTCTTGTTGATAGGTGCTGTGCAGAAAACATACCTCACTCTCAGACTTAATGGAATATGCTGGATCAACTCTGCAGAAAATTTAAAATCATCCATATTGCAGACAAAATACTGCCCATCAACTTGTGAAAAGTCTACAAAAATATCCTGAGGGAGGGGGGAAAGATATATTAAATTACTGGACTACCTAGCTAGGCATGAATAAAATACTGAAGTCTACAAAAGACAGTCTCTTTAATCCACAACAGGCTTCTAGAAAGGCCTGTGTTAGTCACAGCTTTCTCAAACCTAATAAACTTCCCTTAGCCTTCCCAACCTGAAATATTTAGAGAAAATTCCTTATAACAAAAGTCCCAGGAGATTTTGAACAAGTTTTCCCTTACAAGATAAATTTCATAAACAGCAGCTTCACAAAATCAGACTATCCACTCATGTTAATTCAAGGTAACAAATCACCACATAACAGATTTTTAGAAAAGAGATTTAAAAGTGAGTTTCTACTTACAATAAGATTAGAAAGTGTTGTATCAGGGAGATGATAGGCAAACATTTCAATTTGTTCAGCAGTTGGGTGAAGACCAGCAGCCTTTAGTAAAAGAAAAAACAAACATAAGCTTTTTTTCTTTTAAAGGATATGCTTTCTTTAGTTATTTCAAGATAAAGTCCTATATCCAGGCTAAACTTTCATCAAATATTTTAAATGACAAAAACTTATAAAGTAAAATAGAAAAAAACATCATCTTGCCGTTTATTATCAACTGGAAATTAATCAATTGAAAAGTTGATGAGATGATTTAGTAAAACAAATTAAATCCACTGAACAGTCTTTCACTTACATTTTAGTTATATTCCTAAAACTTACAATGGTCTGATAGAGTACTAAAAATGCCTTCCCTGGTATAATTTTCCAAGTCTCAATGCTCTCCACTGAACAACATGAACAAGAATAACGCAAACACTATTACCAAAACAATGAAAGATACATAAATACATGAAAAATTTCTAAACTAGAGGTCAGTTATCTTTTTAACTATATAATTGCAGTGCTAAAAAGAAATATACACAAGCAAGAAAAAAAGAGAAAGGGAAGAGGAAAGAGAAAGAGAAAAGACAGAGGAGTCACAAGAGGAAGACTGTAAGTAAGAGAAACAGAGTCTGCTGTTATCAACTATAAATCTTAACAAAAGCTACAAAAATAATTTCAACCACAGCTTTCCTCCAGAACTTTTCCTTGAATTATCCTTGAATTACGCTAGTATTACCTTTACTTAGTATCACTGAAAAAACAATGAGCCATAAGTGAATTTTCCAGGCAACTTTAAAGTGCAGAGTTAGTTTGTATAAAATAAATAAACATCTCAGCTGTTAACTATACAAACCGAAATTTAACCTTGCCCTTACTTATGTGTTTGTGCTATTTCTCCCCCACCCTCAAAGGTTTCGTTTACAATCAAGTTTCTGGTAATTTTTCAGTCTGCTGACAGAGAACTGTGTGCCTACTTGAAGCAACTGTTCCCTTAGTCCCACCCACTGCTGGATTTTAGGAAAAAGTGAAAGAAATCAAGTTAATTAAACTGGTTCAACTTGGATCTTTCACTTACACACCATTCTCTAACCAAGGAGTCACTATGCCTCTCCAAAGTAACAACATGAGACTTTCTTGACACGATTTTCAAGGCACAAAATTTTCTTTTGCTTATTTGTATCCAGATATCTGAGGCAAAAGTCTAGAAGGTAGGTGAATGATTGACTATGCTCCGGAGAAAAAAATGAATTAACATGTTATACCATACCCTTATGGGATCCACAGGCCTACTCAAAATTTCCTTTAATAATTTGAGGTCTTCTCGATTCATTGTGGTAACTTCTCCCTCTTTAAATTTTGAACTGAATCTACCAGCTCTGCCCGCAATCTGTAAAGCTTGAGAAGTAGTGATTGGTTCAATTTCTTTCTCTCCCTTTTCATTAAGGGTAGGCTTTATAAGTGAGTAAAAAATAATTCTTCTTATGCTCCTGAAATAGAAACAAAAGTGATCTCACAAAAGCTTTACGAAAAACCCTCCATTATTTGGGTCAATGCATTATTTGGGTCAATGTTCACTTGATTCTACTTTAGGCCCACTTGCAATTTTTTCACTGTTGACAAAATAAGAAAAAGGTTTGCTGGTAATTATTTTTTCTTCCCTTCAAATAGCATTTTAAACAATGTAAATTTACCAAAAACCACCAAATTTCCCTTTTATAATGATCAATTTATATGTTAGTTATACCTCAATAATATAGCTATAGAAAATAACTTTCCTTTTTTTTTTTCCACAAATGACCAACTTAAAGTCTTGACTTTTTAAAAGTTGGTTGCTATTAATGGCTTTAAAGAGTTCTTTGATTCATAAAGATAAAATTGGCTTCATTCCCCAGAGAGAAATAGTTTAAGCTTAATACTGTTACCCCTAAAGACAATAGCTAGCACCACATTCATAATGGGCACTCAGTACACAATGCTGATAGGAAACTGAGAATAAAATAAGATGACAGAACAGGGTAATAATGGTAGGAAGCAGTACTCGAAAGTCCTAGTGCTATGTGATTTTTTTTTAATTCCCTTAACAAGAGAAATCTCAGATCTATACTATAACACCTACTCTCCTACATCAGAATGTGTGGTCATTCTAATGTCAAGTAGAAAAAAAAGAAATTTTAATTGCTATATAACCAACTGAATATTTATAATTATCAAAACCAAATTACTTACAAATTAAGTCCCATGCCAATTGCATCTGTAGCAACCAGGATTTTGCATGGATCATCTGGATCATTAAACTTTTTTGCTTGGGCAAGTTTGGTCCCTAAAATAAGAACACTTTCAGTTAAATCAGTGACAGACTTTCAGTGCGTCACGTTAAGTCTATCTTTGAAACCCTCACCTCCTACTCTTTGTATTTTTATGGCTAAAACTCTTATTGTTTCAAACTTATTTCTTTATATCCTCAAAGAGTCATTTTTCCTTTACTTCCTTTACTTTACTTTAAAATTCCCTCACATAGCAACATAATTCCCCCACCATGTTAGTCTTACCATTTCCAAGGATTCTTATTAAACAGGTATCAGGACTACAACTCAGAGAGTTCATAGTTTAATAACATTTCAATAAGAAAATCTTAAGGTCAATATTTAAAGCATAAACATTTAAAATATAATCCAGGTGCTCCCTGGTGGCTCAAGAGGTTAAGCATACCACTGTGAAGCTATCCGCAGCCTCTGCAGCACGAGTTCAATCCCCTGGTTGGCCAGGGAGCTATCCACATGGTGCAGCAGACCTCTCCTGTCTTGCTCACTGCCCCCCTCAGCAGTGTATTTCTGTCAGTCTGCCTGTTCTGTTCCCCACTCTATCTCTGGTGAATCCTCTTACCCCCTGCACTTATGGCCTGTACCCGAGCTCTTGTATACATAAATGAATAAATCTTTAAAAATAAACAAGTAAAATACAGTCCAATAGTAACACATAACAAGAATTATAAATAATATACTTCTATCCCCATAAGGATTAACTAGAAAAATATTTACACTATGTATAACAAATCAATGAAATTAAATATCTTTTACTGTTTCTATGCATACCTCAACATAAATGGCAAAAATAAGAAATATTCATATCCTGTCATGATGAAAGCCAATAATTACCAGGTGGGAGACTGCCATATATAACAGCTGATTCCAATCCCCGGATTTCAATCTGCCGACTCACAGAATAAATATCATTCTTGCTAAAACAGACAATGCAGTCCCCAGGCCGGAGGTTGTCTAGTGATTCTAGTGCATTATCCAGCACAGATATGGGAGTAAGTCTCTTATAGTTTTGAACCTACAATAAAGAAATGATATTGTAAAATAATTAATTCAATTTCTTGTGAATAAGTGAAAAACTGGCAAAGCAATCAAAAGTAGCTAAAAACTGACAGTTACCAATGTTTTTCAAGGGAAAATACAGAAAAACATTATTTTTATATTATAAATGCTTTCATAGGAGTGATAAAGAAAATGAAAAGTAGGACAAAAAGGAAGCCAGTTACTGAAAGGTGCTGGAGAAAGGGATCCAAACTATCTCTAGCAATTAGGAGTATATCAAAGGCCCCAATAACTGACTTATGAAACTGAAAACTACAAACTTTTGCTGAATCTCAAACTCTATCAGCCTGATTTATTTAATTCTAGAGATCTGCTTAAGTTTTATCAAGAGAAGACAGAGAATCTCATATACCTTTGTTCAACCAACATGATGATACAACCAAGCATGTATGATCTAGCCAACTAAGAGGAAATACTTCCTTTTTAGTTAAGTTCTGATTTTTGCCACTATCTGGGGCCTGTGAAGCCAATGTCTGGGCTATTTTCTATGCCTCCTTGAGAACGAAGCATATAATCTAGTACCTCCACTTCTTCCCCAGTCGTGTACATAAGTTCAGTAACCAGATCTATAGCAGCAGATTCTCCACACAAATGAACTTCTTCAGCACAGAGTCCTATTAAACACAAAATCAGTATTTTTTTAGATTAAAGATTTTAAATATCTAATGCTTTATGTAGCAAAAATACTTTATATCTTCTCAATTATAACTTGACCAAGTATTTTCAGAAATATTATCTCTTTGATTCAAACCTCAAAACAAAGAGAAGTTTACATCAACCTCAACTTCTTTTCTGAGTATGGGAAATTCAAAAGGCCAGGAAATGGCCCCCGGAGAAGAATCCACACCACCACCAGTTCAATGACTGTCTTGGTGCCTTGGACTGGAATTCACAAAGAGGTTGGGGGAAGAAAATCTTACTTTCCCATGCAAATCTATGTCAGTAGAGGAACAGAGGGCTTCCAGTAAAAATACATCAACTACACAAAGAACCTCAGCAAAGGGGACCAAAATGAAAAGGAAATGTGAAAAAGGACAAAGCTTCCTACAAAACAAAGATGACGACAGGCAAATCTCAGAAGATACAAATGCTCCACTGCCCTCAAAAATGCCACCAGTCAACCTGCTTTATTAGGACATTGTGAGGATCTGGTGCAGTGAATTACAGCTGAGCGCAAAAGAGCAGAAATTACAAGTTTTTCAGAGAATCTGTGAAAATGCTTATCTGAATCAAAAGGACATTCTCGACACTGCAAAGAACAGCATCCTAAAGTAGTCACAAAGAAAAGCAAAGAAGAGCCAAGGGAAAACAGATCTGGAAAGCTCTGAGGGAATAAATCCTCCTGTAGTGAGGCTGCTTCTCTTGAGGAGTGGGGTGTCTGAGCCTGTCCTTGAAGGATCTACTGCTCTTGAGGGAGCTAATACAGTGGTAGTGACCATTTCTACCCCAATGTTGTGTTTGCCCCCTGGATCAGAATTGCAACCATGGCCGGATAGACAGAGGAAGTAGATATATAGTCACCACAAGAGTGAGATGATATCAGGGAGTATGTGGTCTGTGGATGAAGTCTCCCTGAAGACAGACAGGGTGGTGTTTGTCTGTTGCAGATTTATGCGTGGAAAAGCCAGGGTACCTGGGAAACAAGGGCAAGGATGTGCTCTCTTCCTCCTCCCTGCCTGCAATTTTCCACCCCACACCTGGAAGAGAACATGTTGTGCCCCCAATGTGTTGAAAGGAATAGGATATTGATGAAAAGCTTCCAAAGGGAAAAGGGTACAGCTGTGATAAAAAGATGACTAGTCAACTCCATATTGCCATTGATACTGGACTCAGAGCCCCTTCACATCCTCCATGCTTCCTAAATTTTAAGTTTAACGACTGCAGACTACTAAGTATTTTAAGTCAAAGCGAAAGCTGCTACTCCTGACTTTCCAAAACATTCTTATGCATATAAAACATCCTTTTTTCAAAATTTTCTTAATAACCTGAGATTTATGGAGTGTTTCTGGTATAAAAACACAGAGCGCTTTGCTAATATTTCCATTTCTAACTATTCTGTATATTTTATGGCTTAAAAATGTTTAAGATTACTTCTAAACCATAAATGCATACTATGCGTTTAAAACGTACATACATTATCCATTATATTTTAAAACATTTTCATTGTGAGCGGATTATTATGCTCCCACTAGGCGTGAAAGAAAAAGCATGAAAACAACAAAACAACAGCTTTCAAGTGGGTCAACTCAAAACAACAACTTTCTAGTGGGTCAAGATTATCTCCATTCTTACAAATCTCAACATGTCTTAATCTCTTTGCCAAAGTTTAAAGCTTATTAGAGGGTGAAGTCAAGCCCTAACTAGAACCTAGCATTCTGGTGCTTAATATAGAACATGAATCCTATACTTGTGTTTTTTCAAATTCTCCATGTAATCACTGCAATGCCTCAGAGGTAGGGGATATGAAGGGTAGAAGAAACTCCAATCTCCTTACTCAGAGCAGTTCTATGTTCATCTACTTCCCATTATAGGCTTCAACATACATATACTAAGTATTTGAACAAAGAGTTCAACTATTTGTTTTTAAATTTGAATACAACTGCCCTGCTACATACTGGTCAAAAATTCACTCCAATATCAAAGAGTAGAGATATGCATTCATGTTCATGGACATGAATCCAAGAACTCAAGAACTCTACTTATAAGAGCCTATCCTAATTAAATAATTAATGAGTTTTTAAAAATTTTAATTAGCAAAATTAATTTTATTATATTTGTTTTGACTAGCAAAAAGCCAAAAAGCTTTTTTAATTTTTGCTGAAGTATTACCAATAGAAAAAATGTTCAAATCTATGGAAGAAATTATAGTACACCTCTTCAATAAAGAATATGCAATCATAATGAACACTATGAAAAAAAGTCTATGAAACAATAGAACTGAAAAAGAAAACCAAAATAAAAAATTGCATGTTCACAAAATACCTTATACACAAGAAATAAAACACACCAAAATGTTAATAGTATTTGTATAAATACTGTGAGATTTAAACATTTTAACTTTAGTTATATAATTATGCTAATTTTGTGATAGGAAAAATGAAATCCCATTATTAAAATATTATTTGGAAAATAAAAACTCACACTTAGCTGGTTGTTTGATCAGCTGGCTCTATCTGACAGTGTGAAACAGATAAACTACATCTCAGTGCAAATGTCACACAGCAAAGGTTTTACAGCACTAAAAACCACTAACCTAGAAGTGCTCTGGTCCAGGCCCATCCTCTAGCTGGATCTTTAATCATTTGAATTTCATCAATCACAGCCACTTCATCTTAAAATTAACAAAAAAGTTACCATGAGCAATATGATCTACTTAAACAGAACTATAAACACAATACAGCACCAAAATTTAAACTTTCATCACCACCATAATCATCATCATCACTTACAGAGCATTTCTTTTCTAGTAAATATGTTCTAAAATGCTTTACAATTGTAGCACACTGAATCCTCACAACACTCACTTAACACTCACTATAAGGTAACTATTATCTCCATTTTACAGAATAAACTGAATTTCAGAGAATTTATATCACTTGCCCAAGGTTATACTGTATATGCAGTTAGTAAACATAACACCTAAAAATAATGAATTCAAACCCAAGATTTCTAGCTCCAAAGCCCATACTCTTAACTACTTTACTATACCATCTCCAACCTCAGAGGTTCATTTATCTTATTTTTGTTAAGAGAAAAGGAGAAAAAAAAAACATTCAGAAGTAACCTGGAGAACTATCTAAAAAGAATTAACAAACCTACACAGTAGTAAAAGAAAAAAGTAAATATCCATGCTTCCAGGAACAAGAGGATAATCCCACAGTAAATAAAGCATCTCCATGGGAGGAACCCAGATGGGACACATGAGCAGAAGGTGAGCTCCAGCTATGCCCAGTCTTACGGGTTTTAAGCAAAACTTAGTGCCTCAATTTATTTTCTAATGTCAAAATATTATTATTTTCCAACTATATTATTTTAAAATTTTTAAGTCATATAAATTATGTTTTAATTTTCTTCCCCAGACACCAAAGATTTGTGAAGAGGACACAAAATAAAGACACATTTAATAGGTTTACAATGACATTTGAAAACAAAAGAAAACTAATTCTATACTGAAAAACCATCAGACTGACCATTATTTACCAGTCTGGTATATGCAAATAAGGTTAGAAAAGAAGGGGCAGATGAGAGAATTTTGATTTATAAACTTATATGAATTTTTACATGTTACTTTTATAAAAATCTTTTAAAACTATCCAGTTACTTAGAAAATTAAAATTATTTAAATGAAAACTGTAAGCCACCAGAGAAAATATATAATCCCCATGTTATTTAATAGGCACAACCACAATGCACAGATGAATATAAACAGAAGTATGGAAAATATTCACCACAGAGTTAACACTTGTTAATTCTGGGTGGATAGGATTAGGAGATTATGTTTTTATTTTTTCTCTGTTTGCATTTATTTTTATATTTTCTAAAAGTTATTATTGCTTATATCATAAGGAAAATTTTTTTTATTTAAAACTACTAAATAAAAGTTAACTGCAGGCCTCCCTGGTGGCGCAGCGGTAGAGCGCTGGCTTGCGAAGCTGCCCGCAGCCTCTGCAGCGCCGGTTCGATCCCCGGCTGCTCCCCGGCCACTGGAGGAGGGTCCCACATGACGCGCAGACCTCTCCTGCCGCCCGCTGCTCCCCTCAGCAGTGTACTTTGGTCCTTCTGCCTGCTCTGCTCCCCTCTCTGGCTCTGGTGAATTCTCTCACCCTCCCGCGCTTCTGACTGTACCCAGTGCTTGTATAGTTAATAAATAAATTAAAAAAAAAAAAAGTTAACTGCAATGTTATATATCATAATGAAAAATGTTTCTTTTTTAAGAACAGAAAAGGTGGATTTATTGAAATAACTGAGTAAGACAGGAAAGGTCTGCTTTGCCAGTAATGAAAAACTGTAGACAATCTAAACATTATAAGGCAATGCATGATTTTAGTTATAAAATGGAACACTGCATAGCAGTTTAAATGAATAAACTTTATACATATATAAAAAATGTAAATTATGTAATATAAAACAAGACTAGAACTACCTAAAAGCACCTTGTATAGCATAAAAAGTGAGTTGTGGAAAACAATGTAATAATCATGTAAATGTTTTAAAACACATAATAGTATTTGACAGCTACTATATTTATATATATCAGCATTCTAAAAGAAGACAGGAGAGATATACACCAAATATTTGATAGTAGTTCAATCAAAAGAGGGGAGAGAGGCCCTGACCCACCAGATGCCCACATGGGGCCAGTGGAAAGACTTCCTTCTGAGGACGCTAAAGGTGTGACTTAGTTGACTATGGATAAAAGCTGGGAGGCAGGCCCTCAAAAGACAACTAAATAACCCCTTCAATATCTGTACAATATGTATAAATATGTACATTGGTTAACATATTACTTCTGTTAAGAGAAAAAGGGAAAAAACATTCAGAAGCAAACACAACAGTATTCAGCACTTATTAGTGATGGTAGGACAAAGTATTTGTTATTCTCTTCTTTTACTTAAATATTTTTTCACCATAACATATTTCATACGTTCTGCATTTTTAAATAAAAAATATTAAACTATAAATTTTTAAAAACATGTTTACATACAAGGAGTTGTAACACTGCACATCTCAACGGTACAAGCAACATGGGCAGCCTGTTTCCCACTTGGCTCTACTGTCACACGCTCTTCACCTGTTACCAAGTCACATGGCACACCCTAGGATGATAAAAAAGAATCCTGGCATTATTTTGCCCTTGAAAATAATAGTAAAAAGGATGTTTAATAGATTATTCTCTCCATTACCAACAGATTTATTTGTCTTAACAGCTGAAACAAAGTATTTCCCAATGTTTTTCAAACATTTTTCATAAAAAAAAAGCTTTTTTAAAATCCACTTTCTTACACTACCTACATGAACTTGGAAATACCTCAAATCAGCTAAATCCTTAGGTAAGAAAAACATGAGAAATCACAGTAGTCTTACTTTTTAACTTTGCACATTTCTGTACTATATCAGTTTATTAAAATAAAAATGGACATTACCTCTATATTCAAGAAGATTACAATAAAATTTAAAAACAAAGACTTCGTAATATAATTATTTGAGATAGACCAATGTCAATGTTATAGTATATTAGAGTAATCAACCATCCTATTTTTCCCAAGTCTGGGGGATTCTCCAGACAAGGACTTTTTTGGTGCTATATCTGGGGAAGTCCAGCAAACTGGGACAGCTGGTCTCCCTAAAGTTCTGAATATAATCAAGAAGAAATAGAAATACACAAACTGATTCAGTTTACAATACAAATACAACACAACTGATCTGCAGTTTTCCAAAATGTAAAGGTTATGAAAGATACAAAAAGAAACTGAAATAGATGACTGCAAATTACAAAACCCTGGACAGAATCTTGGAGGGCATGGGGGGAAACTGCTGTAGTTATTACTGGACAAATGGCAAAATCTCAATATGGGCTATGGATTAAATAGTATTCTATCAACATTAAATATGTTTTGATTTAGATAAATATCATGTGGCTATATAAACAAAAGTCTATGTTCTGAGGAAATACTTTAAATATCTATGCATAGAGGCATTACGTATGCAAATTACAAATTATGCAGAGCAAAAAAATACAGACTGCAAATTACCCACCAAAATTAGTTAATCTAACATGATAAAGTTATAATAAAACAATTAACAAAAATGTGGATCATTTAGTGAAATGATGCCTCAGACCACAGGGAAAGCAGTCCTTTTCAGATCAAAACATACGTTCAGTCCTTACCATTAGTTTTATGTGATAGATTCAGAGGTCTAATTTAAATTAAAAGCAAATTAAACAGTATTGGTAAACTCTGAAAAGGCAAAGGAACAGTAGAGGGGGAGTTTCAACTAATTGTTATTTTATTTCTAGAGTAAATACAATTATGTATGGCAAAATGTTCAAATCCAATGGAGGTGGCTAGCAGGGTCCAGTTATTTGTAAGTTATTCTCTGCATTTCTCAGTATATGTGACAAATATTGAAAGGCTATAATTCATTCACTCTAATACATTTTTTCACATCTTAGTATCTCTAAAATCAAAATATAATCTGAAGAACTGATGGCATATCAGAGCATCTTTTTCTTTCTTAGTTATACATAATGGTACATCTTACAATTGCTGACTTCTCCAGAACAATGAAATAGTGCATTTTCTTGTTAACAGTGTATTACTACAGATGCTTCACCAAAAAAAATTAACAAGAAAAAGAGCAAATATTCAATAATATACTGACAGCAGCATTACTCTTTTCGAAGATCTCATGTGCCAATAATTTTAAAGGGCCACAATAGACTCCAGATTTAGCTGAAAAGTATTTCTGGATTGCATGGTAAGTCTTTCCACTGTTGGTGGGACCCGAATGGAATATTATCTTCCGCTTAAAGGCTCTGGCTTCTGGGTACCTAAAACAAGTAGGTAAATAGCTTAATCCCATTAACCTCAGAATCTATCCTAGCAAGGTATCAACTGAAGAAAATTCCAAATTAAATATCCTCTTAATATTCACAAGATAGCATCTTTGAAAAACTAAAACAGCAGCTCTGTCAACACATTAACATAATGACTGTTTTCCAAGAATGGCATTTACTAGAAATACAGAAAAATTCAAATGTAAATTAATTTCTTGGATATTTCTGTCATTGTACAAATCTTTTTCTTGGGAGTTACTTAAAATGAGTTTAAACAGCTCCACTGATAGGTTTAAATCATTTCCATAGCTCTAAACACATATCCCTATAATCAAATACTACCAAGCTTCTGGATCTCAATGTATGCAATATAATGACTTCTGCTTCAGGACATGATGGAATAACTGGGACTGACACCAACATCCCGATAATCAAGTACAAAACTTGACACAACAGCAGTAATTGCTTGGGAGTAAGGACCACACAGCAGGAGAGGACAGTAAGCCCTGAAAGAAGGGAACACTTGAGGTAAGCCCTACTATCCTCCAGCAGGACCCTGGGAGATGGAACCCAAGAGAGCATGATAGCCCCACTGAGCTGAGTAGCATAGATCAAATTTTAAGTTGCTGAATCAACTGAAATTTAAAGGGTATAGTGTGGAAGAAAAGAAAGGGGGCAGGGAAGAGAAGCTTTAGGTCTGGTAAGAAGGGGTGTCCCCATGGGTCCTTGGTCAAGGGTTGGACTGAATATGTGCAAGATAAGACTTGGCAGAGAGCAGTTTGCTAAGGAATTAAGCAGAAAGTTTCAAAGAGGTAACAAAGTACTAGATGCTGGAGTTCCAGCATACACTAAAAACAGAAAAACAAAAAACCAATGGTTACTATTGGATTGTCAGAAAAGTCACGACGTGTTTTTTTTTTTTCAAGCAAAACTACATCATGACTTTCCTGACACCCCAGTATTTCCCCAAGATTAGAAAACAAAATAATTCAAATCCAAAAGTGAAGAAACTGACCAGTTAGGTGGTATTCTTAAATCACTGATTTTACGCAGATCATCCTTACATTCCAATACAGGAAATATCTGTTTTGCATGTCTCAAGAAAAATGGAAATAAATCATCCACATGAGCTGGAAAATAAAACACTGTGTTAACAAGTACAATATACATGTTATCCATAACTGAATGCAGTGAAACCTTTTTTAGTGAGCTTATTTAGAAAGACATTGCCAAGGTAAAATGAAGAGTTCTGGAGCAAGATCCTGTTTTGTATTTCTGAGATCCTGTTTTGTATTTTTTTAATAGAGGCATGTTCTTATTTATTTGTTTGTTTGTTTGTTTGTTTTGTTTATACATGCACTGGGTACAGTTAGAAGCGCGGGAGGGTGAGAGAATTCACCAGAGCCAGAGCCAGAGCGGGGAGCAGAGCAGGCAGAAGGACCGAAGTACACTGCTGAGGGGAGCAGCGGGCGGCAGGAGAGGTCTGCGCGCCATGTGGGACCCTCCTCCGGTGGCAGGGGAGCAGCCGGGGATCGAACCGGCTCCACAGAGGCCGCGGGCAGCTTCGCAACCCAGCACTCAACCACTGCGCCACCGGGGAGGCCCTATTCTATTTTCCTTTTAATTCCACTTATACTTTCAAACAAAATTGGATGCCAACTGCCTTGTTCTCCTCCAGTGCAAAGAGGAAAAATCAGCAATGATGAAAGCTAAAAATAAAGAACCTGGAAATATACATTAGAGGGAAGTCTTGTGGTTACATGAAGAGAAATGGAGGTGCAAACTTTTTTTAAACTGCAAAGATCATAGAGATAACATCAAAGTGAATTGCTTTCTGAGAAAGAATCGGAGGGTGCAGCCATTTAGCATTCTGTTTTCTATCCATCTCCTATCTCTCTACCTGGCACAAGGTAATATTCTAATTAATCATATACATCTTAAAATGAAACCAAATTTAAACTGTCTGTGGCAACAAAATAAGGGACCTAATATAAAAACAAAAGGACCTAAAAGGCCTCCTATGAAAGCAATGAATTGTTAACATACGGTGTTAATAGAACCTGTTCTAAAATAAGGAAGTCCTGCCTACAGAAATAAACATGAAGCATGGGAACAGATGGAAAGTCTGTTCAATAGGATTTTTAAAGTCTCTAAATACTTGCCTGCATTAAAGCATATATCATTCAAAATAATGTGAATGTCCACATCCAGAGAATGAGACTGCATGATGTAATTTCTAAAGCTTATGAAAGCTTGGTGGAAGAGACGAGCTGTAAGAAACACAAAATCAAAATAGGCAGGGCTTAGTTTCATTTCATTTCTCATTTTTAAATGTACAAATACACATCACACCTAATTTAACAGTGTCCTTTTATTTTTTTTGCATTACACCTGGTTTATTATCATCTGGGCTAAAACCTATGAAGGAAAGCTAAATACACATTTCCCTTGCTGTGTGTGCAGCTCACCAGCTGCATCTTGCCAGTCTCCAAACCAAACAGAAGGAAAGACAGGGACACTCCCCAGACTGTAACTGTGTACATATGTCAAGGTTTCACATAATAATGATAAAGCTGTACTCTAAGAAGTACTAAAATATCTATAAAGTCTTACCATCAAGTCCATAATCAGCACCCAGTTTCTGAATTTCTTTCCTCTTGTAAAACTTGTCTAAGATCTTCTTTACTTCATCTAGAACATATATAAAAATTTAACATTTGTTTTAAGATTTGTTTTCAAGACAATGTCCAAAAAGCAAGACATTTGAAATTATATCCCTCAAGCAACTATATACTGAGTGTTGCAAGAATTTGAAGGTTTTAGTTGATCACAAACCCTTCATGGGTTAATGGTGTGACAGAGGGCCTAGAAAAATAGTAAAGTCAAATAATGCAATATTCCTATGATGCTACAGAATAAGCAAGGTGCTATAGGACCCCTAGCCTCCATCAGGTCACATTTTATTTTTTTAAGAGAAAAAAGCCAAAAATAATTTTAATAACATGTATACTTCAAGTATACATGGGAGAGACCCAATAAGACTGAGTAACTCCCATCAGCCCACTTTTAGATAATCATGTTCTGTTTCACTTATTTACAACCATTCTGAACATGTTTATTCATAAATAGCTAAAGGTGTCCAATACTACAAGGACCAAATCATCATGTTTTTTCATGAATGACTGAAGGAGTCGGGATGATATTTAGTTTCAAGATAACTTTAGGGAGAACAGAGTACATTTATTTTGTTCTGGACAGCATAACTAAGGTTGGTGGTGAGTGAGGGAAGCAAATCTCAGTGGAAGTTAACTACCTAACAATTAGAGGAGTGAAAACAGTTTTCTCTTAAGGGTCAGTTCCTTAACATAAGTACTCCAGCAGGATCTAGATGACTGTAATTCAAGGGTGATGGCGGAGAAATTACTATGCTATATAGAGAGGATAATTAGATGTTTGCTAACCTAACATGCCACTATGAATCAACAATTTCATGGGTGAAAATATTTTAATCAAGGGCCTCCTCTGGTGGCACAAGCAGTTGAGCGCTGTGCTGTGAAGCTGTCCATAGACTCTGCAGTGCTGGTTTGATCCTGGCTGGCTGGCGAGGGTCCCACATGGCGCGCAGACCTCTCCTGCTGCCGGCTGCTACCCTCAGCAGTGTACTTCGTCACTTCGTCAGTCTGCCTGCTCTGCTCTCCCCTCTGGCTCTGGTGAATTCTCTCACCCTCCCGCACTTCTGACTGTACCCAGTACTTGTAAAAATAAATAAATAAATCTTAAAAAAAAAATAACATTTTTTCATTGCTTCTCAGCCTTTTGGCAAAAATAAGTACAACAAAATAACACTTTTAGTGGAAGTATTATACTTCTGCCCTGAAAAACAAGAGTTGACCCACAGCAAGTTATCCTCTATATTTTAAAGTTACAATAGGAGGCACAATAATCTCTGCTGAAGTGAACTGCCAGAAGATAGTTCCTGGAGAGCAAGTGTCTGGGATGTTATAGCATTCCGTCAGTCACCAAGAGCTTCCTTTGGTCAAAGGAAACACCATCCCCTCTTTATCATCCAGTAACTATAGAGGTGCAGCCATATAACCTGAAACTCCCCTTGAAAACACTACTGTCTGGCTCCCTGTCAAATCCATCCAAAGTTGATTTGGGGACAAAATCCCCTGCCACTTGCTCATGCTAAGTGATTCCTTTCTCTGGGGCTCCGGATGATCAGGGTACCTACTTTTGGCAAAGATATTTTTATCAGGTTCTACTTTATACTACAGCTGGCTATCCACTGTCCTATCTCCCCAGTGAGACTAAGTTTCTGGAGGAAAATAGATCTGGATCCTCTTGGGAACCACCATACAGCCCAAGAGTTTGGTTTGCCTAGCCAATGAAAAAGACTCACTAAAAAAAGTCCTCTTCTGCCTGGCTTCTCACTGCCCGACTCACTCTCGCCCCTTTTCGAGAGCGAAAGTTTCTGGCAACCAAGGCAAAACTAAGATGCTATAAAAGCGATCGCCCAACCTAACACCTCAGAAAAATGACTCGTCTCATCACAAGATAACCTGAGCCTTTCAGAGGAGAGCAGATGAAAGGGGAAAGGTCACCTGTAGGGCAGTACATGACAGGATCAGTCAAACACAGTCCCAAGCTTTGAGGGACTCACAAACTAGAGAGACAGGTACTCGAGGCACGATGACAATGCCGGGGGGCGGCGGGGGAAGAGGGACCTCGGATCTCCACCGCTAGGGCGTGCAGCTTCCCCGCCACAGCGCTTACTCTCTGCAGAAGCCCCCCTTAGGTCCTGCACTCACTCTTGTCCAGAGGGCGAGTTAGTTCGGCCCCGACGTCGCCATCGGCGCTGGGGCCCTGAGGTTTCACAGTCAGCGGCACGAACAAGGACGTGTTCGGGGCTTTGGAGCCTCCAGAGGCAGAGGAGGAGGAGGACGAGGAGGACGAGGAGGAAGAGGCGGCGGCGGCAACGGCAGGAACACGCCCCAGAGTCCCGGGAAAGGGCCCAGCGCGAATGCGAAGGAAATCGCGGATGACTGCCCGGTAGGCAGCCTGGCGCCCCGCGGGGAGCCCAGCCCACAGCAGGGTACACCGTGGGAAGGACATTGAGGCCACAGGCCCAGAAGGCGGCCCGCAGCAGCCCCGAAACTCGGCGGTGGAAAATGAGGCACACCGCCAGCGCCTGCAGTCTGGAAAGACCCAAAGCCAGCAAGGGCGCCCACGAGAACGCCTGACCAGTAGGGGAAAAGTGGTACCTTAAGAGTGCTCATAAAGGGGGTTTAAAATATGCAAATAAACACATATAAATATAAGTTCTTGTTCTATCTATCTTTCATTGGAGAGAGAGGCCACAATTCGCCAAAGAAATTAAAATAATCAGGCATCTTTTTGGATGCCATGAGGGGGCCTTCGAGCTCTGTCACGTGACATGAACCAGCCCAGTCAGTAAGCGCGAGGTGAGAAGTCCCTGTGCAAAGCTGTGAGCCGAGCGCGCGACACCCAGAGAAGCGACTGCTTGTTCTACGGGCACCACCGTGGCTTGCGGAGTGAAACACTGAAGAACATTTCCCAAACCTTTTTTGGCTATTAACTTCGTCTGCTGATACAGTAACGTTAGAGAAGTTGGTTAAGGAATTTTGTTGTACAGGTTTATTAGGTGATCCCCTTGATGGCGTGTGTGTAAGTACGTGCACTCTAATGTGAGCAGTTCGTGTCCAACCGACATGGCAAAAATGTCACAACCCCATGGCAAAAATATGCCCTCTGTACCCTAGCCAAAATGTAATTCTTTTGCTTTAGTTGGCTACTGTGTCCTGTGAGGTTGCAACATTTATTTTAACATGTGCTATTAGATTTCCATCTCATTGTACTTAAAATATTGAGATCTTGCAACTCTTAAGAACATACCGTGTAATAAGTAATACTATGTGTAGTGTAATAAGTAATACTGTGTGTCAAATAGGACTCCTTTAACAATTTTGTTTGTGCCTTTGATTCACAGATACTTTTTTTTTTTAAAAATTTATTTTTATTTATACAATCTCTGGGTACAGTCAGAAGCGCGGGAGGGTGAGAGAATTCACCAGAGCCAGAGCGGGGAGCCGAGCAGGCAGAAGGACCGAGGTACACTACTGAGGGGAGCAGCGGGCGGCAGGAGAGGTCTGCGCGCCATGCAGGACCCTCCTCTGATGGCCGGGGAGCAGCCGGGGATCGAACTGGCGCTGCAGAGGCTGCGGGCAGCTTCGCAACCCAGCGCTCAACCGCTGCGCCACCGGGGAGGCCCCCACAGATACTTTTTTTAAACATCCCAGATACGTGTGGACTAACCCTCGCCCTCATATTCTGATCTGTACAGGGGCCTCCCTGGTGGCGCAGGCAGTTGAGCGCAGCGATGTGAAGCTGTCCGCAGTCTCTGCAGTGCGGGTTCCATCCGGGTGGGCCTGGGAGCTACCCACATGGTGCGGCCTCTCCTGTCTCACCCGCCACTCCCCTCAGCAGTGTATTTCGTCAGTGTGCCTGTTCTTTTCTCCGCTCTGTCTCTGGTGAATCTTCTCGCACCCCACACATCTGGCCTGTACCCCAGTTCTTGTATGCTTAAATAAATAAAGCTTTAAAAAAAAAAAAAAAGACCAGTACGTGTTAAATAATGCACATATGTAACTGCTTTTTTTTTTTTTTAGAAGAACTGGGATGTAGGCCAGAGGTGCAGGGGGTGAGAGGATTCACCAGAGACAGTACAGAACAGGCAGATTTACTGAAATACACTGCTAAGGGGAGCAGTGGGCAATACCGAGAGGTCTGCTAGACCCTGTGGATTAGGTACCTGGCCATGGATGGAACTCAGGCCACACCAGAGATAGCGCTGAGACTTAACCCCTAGACCACCAGTGAAGCCCTGGACCCATATATTTTTCTAAAGGACCCTTTTAATTTTATAATCACTATGAAAATAAGGTTTTTTAATTCAGATATTGTGTAAATGACCGAGTATATGCCAAAACAAAATAGGCTGAGCTCTTAAAATCTACAAAATGAAACTTAGACAATGTATAATGCAATATTGTTTCAATTAAAGGGAGCAAAGTATTTTTTGAAAGTGGTGAGCAGTCATGGAAATGTGCACAGTATGCCTTGACAGCACAGCAAAGGAGCATCTGACTCTGACTGAGAGATGGCAAGGTCAGGCAAGGTTGGTGAAAGAGCATTACTATAATAGAAATTAGCTGAAGGGTTAGAGTTCTACAAGTCTGTCCTAACAGAACTGAAGTTGTGTTTTTTTAATGTGGAATTTAAACTTCATCATGGAATCGTCATTAAAAGATGTATTTAAGGGTACACATTTTCCTCATTATGCCTTTATCTGATTTTATTCTTAAAGCATGTTACCTTCATTCCAAGCTAGTATAAACCCCTGTAGAGTACTGTGGTGGCGGGGGAGAGGGATATTACCCCTTTTCTTCATTTTTCTAGGCTGACAAATAATCAAATTAACATTAAACGAGGGAAAAAACCATGGAAGTTTAATAACATTTATAAATCCTGTGTACATGGGAGACCCAGTATAAACTAATTCCCAAAAATAGCTGAAGTCACCTCCTTAAATAATCAGCTACAGACAAAGGATGTTGGTGGGGTGCTCATTCAGGGGAAGTCACCAAGAAAAGCACAATAAACAAGTATGACTGTATGCAGATTTGTCACTGTTTCTCCATTGATGAGTTAAAGGAAGCCCAGAATATCCCACTTTGGCATAAGATTTATTTCCAGTTGAAAGTATTTGAGTTCCTGAACCTCCCAAAGAACTCAATTGTCATAAATCCCTTCTTAGGGTGCATACAGGGAAGATTCTCTTATAACCCTATACAAGAAGCACCACACCCAAGCAGACTGTGTCACAATACTCTTCTCCTTACGACCGATGTATCTTTCCTAAAGGTAATTCGCCTTCACACATATGCCCTTTCTCCCAGCAACTTGCCCTATTAAAATGCCAATTTTTAGTATCCTTCAACCCCTCTCCTGTCAAGAAGGTATATAAACCCTAAATTCTAACCATGTTTTATGCCATTTTTGTGAACTGCCTCCTCTATTAATTTTTTCTCTTGCTAATGTTTTTTGTTAGTCTATTTTTTAACGATTTATTTATTCATACAAGAGCTGGGGTAGATGCCAGAGGTGTGGGGGGGTGAGAGGATTCACCAGAGACAGACTGGGGAGCAGAACAGGCAGATTGACCAAAGTACACTGCTGAGGGGAGCAGTGGGCACGTCAGAAGAGGTCTGCTGCATGTGGGTAGCTCCTGGAAGGCCGGGAATTGAACTCATGCTGCAGAGGCTGTGGACAGCTTCATAGGTTGTGTCTTAACCCCTTGCACCACCTGGGAGGCCCTTTTTGTTAAATAGCAGGTTTCCAAACACCTAAGAGGTAGGTTTTTCCTATCCTAAAGATTAAAAAATGAAACTTTTTCACTGGTGAAATAACTATATATAAGTGGTTTAAACAGTGGGTCTTAACCCTAGGCAGCCTTTTAAATGCTGGTATCTGAGCCCCTGAGATTTTTATTTTATTGGTCTGGACAGGAACCTTGGCATGTTTTTTTAAACTCCTTAAGTGATTTGAATATGCAGCCAAGGTTGAAAACCACTGGGTTAGATATTGTACTCTTTATTAAAAACACAAAATTTTATTTTCAGTTTATTCTAATTAACTGGCCAACCTTTTACTCAATTCACCAAATACAAAATTTAAATGTTTCAAATTGGTTATGCAACAGTCTGAAGCAAAGTGAAAAAGCATCCTGTTTATGACAGTGTTTTAAGCCACCTAATTAAACAGCTATTTAAAATCATAAATGACTCGATTTATAAAAGCTTCTAATTGCCACAATTATTACTTCTGAACTATTGAGCAATCCTGTCCTTAACAATAAATCTGACGAGATTTGAGAATAGAACTATTTTAATCATTCAAATAGCAAGCTCAGTATTTGTTTCAAATTCTTTATTATACATCATGGTTGCACAATTTGAGGCTGGTTAAATGCAACTGGTTTTCAAAATTTCTTTATATTTTCTAGATTACTACATGCAAGTGACCATGAAAATATTTGGCATTTTTAAATTCTGAAACTCTGAACAGGCACTTACATGAAGAAAAACATTACCATTCACAGATAACCACATTGAAATTAGATGCTCCAGCACATAGTACATGGAACCTTTTGCCAGTAAAGAGGTTGGTTATTGACCATTTACCAAAGTGCCATAGTAGTAAAACAGTTATAAAGAAATTAATTTGGGTTGCTTAACTTACTCATAAAGTAAGGTTAACTGACAATACTTGTGCTGTGTATAAAAAAATATTGGTACAAAAATCAGTGAACCATAAATGAGAGTTTCACATAGCAGGCTTCATTTTAGTTCCTACACCCCACATTTAGTGTATTTTGAGATCAGACCCCATGCATCTGAACAGATGACTCCAATCTTCCTTTTTTAGATATTTTGAACAAATGACTTGAATTTAGTGTTAAAAAATTAACACAGTGGGTAAAGTTTCAATTTAAATTTGAACAAGCCAAAGTTCCAGTTTAACATGAAACAGTCCTGATAACTACATGCTTGCCAGGACCTTGTGAGAGCCCCTAGCCCCAAATTTCCCCCTGTAAAGAGAAGAGAGTATTTGTGAAGTCAAGAAAATTATATTTGCATATATGTGGTAAAAAGATTCCTTAAATAAAAAATTTTTTTGAAATATTTACGGAAAAAAATCAGTTTTAACAAATTCTAAAATGCCAATATAGCGTCAACTCCATATTGCAGAAAACAATGATAGTTGCTTGGATGGTAGTCGCGAAATGATAACAATATGGGGAGAGGGAGGAGAAGAAGGCTATAATGACATGTCACATAATCCCATGGAGAAAAAATTTTAATATTCATAGTGCAGAAGAATTCAAAGATGATAAAATTCAGGAAGCCATGGAAGCACCTACAGTGAAACATTCCATATACATTTCTCAAGCACATATGTATAAACATACATACAGTTCTCAAAAATATTGAGATGCTATGTTTTAAATCTCTGCAGGATTTAAGGGCCACTAAGGTTTTCTAATTTTATTTGAACACAAAATATTTAATT